ATAAGAAAACAGTGTAAATATCACTTATTCTGCTGAAGAGTTATTACATTTCATCCAGTTAGTTGAAAGATGCAAAAAGTATCAATTCAGATTGGATACAATAATTTTAATGAAAACAAAAGTAAATACTGCACATTTTTGTACCTCGCTTGAAGAATATGTTGTATAAATTTTACTCATATTTTGTACTTTGCTAATCTGTAGCATTTCAATAAAACATATCAAAGTTTTTTAATGGATGTCTGTTGTTTCTTTGGGTTGGTATTTCACATAAACGTTACTGTCAACAAGGAAATCATTCACTTTTAGCTTCCCACAAAAACCTTGTCTTACTTACACACAAGCTGCTAAACGTGCAGTTAATCAAATAAAGTGGTTTCAGCTTTGTGACATAAAGGATGAGGTCTGTATTAGTCAACACATTCCTGTTTCAATTTTTATCAATGATCTGTATTCACAGCTTTTAAAATGGTCTGTTTTGTAAGTAACGTTTTATGAATCACTTACTATTTACGCTTCCGTATAAAAACACCAAATTCTCTATCAACGCCAAATGTTGTTGTCAAAGCATAGCTCTGAAACTTATCTACGTGAATATTTTCCAATCGGAAAAGATAAGGGTATTTTCGTCCTGCTCTTACTACTACCGTGGACCATCCCTGACGTCAAATCCGAACTTAGACAGAAATCCCTAAACGATTACCACCGTATGACAAAACAGCGAGCTTTAAATGTATAACGAAAGAAAACACCTGCAAAATAACTTTAAAAAAAAAACATTAACTGTACCTTGGAAAATAATACATTCTGCTTGATGTGCAATTTATTATGAGCTTTCATGGTTTCAGCTATGTGATATAAAATATGAGGTCTATATTAGGGATATTGAATACATCAAGTATGTTTGCCAGACCCTGCTTTAATTCCATCATAAATGGTGAGAAGATACATTGTATTTTACAAAGATAATAGAAAAGGCGTTCGTGATAAAACGAATACATTTGAATCAATATCATCAAATTTTACTTACGCTAAAACATTTCACAAACAAGTCCTTTAACTATTCTACTTCAAATTATAAAATGTGTGTACATTAACCGGTACACTTCGTACTTTTCGTAACGTTGTAGCTGGAATTGAAACTGGTACAGTATACACGACATTCAATGTAAGAGTAAATTATCTTCATTAACCAAACGTACTTAATGTGTAAAATGGTACGATGGTAAGGGAGGTAATTACCGATCAGTATGCTAAATAGACAGATTATATATCGGCTAATTATCGTGTCCTTCGCTTCTTATAATGGATGACTTAACACATTTCATAACAATTTGACCATGAACATCAAAGCTATTGCCTGGATAACAAACTGTTTTAAACATAAAAGGCTATGCTTGCTTAACCAGGGATAGAAGGGGATCCTTTAAGGCGTACATGATGTTTAATTAAGTGCATGCCCAACATTATATAAATCTAGTTTATTTTTACAAAGACTCACCATGTTAAACTTTGTTGTTTTATGAATATTATAAAAGATATTTATTCACAAAAATGTCCTGACTTGTTCAAAAATCATCCATGAAGATAAGATTTATAAAGCGGTACACGATACTACCATACACGACAGACTCAGTACCTTTACACTTACAAATGTATCATAGCATGCTTAATGACACCGATCCCTTGCATTAGACCCGTCTTATTTTCACGGAGCGTGGAGACAGAGACACAGACAAGCGAATACAGGGGTCATTTTAAAACTAATTGTATATGGAACGTAGCGTATAGGGTATGTCAGAGTGTGTAGACGCACATGTGAGTGACTACAGGTAAGCGAACAGGTAAGAATTTATGTAACCGGTACCACAGTCGTTATATTCTTTTTTCGTGGCTCAATGCGACAGGTAGTTGTATGTGACCGTGGTAATTGATCTCTCAATATCTCCGTTAAGGATCTCACCCGGGAGGACTGTTGTATTTTTCTGACGCCGATTGAGTTAAAAGAAATTCCCCGAACAAAAATAATTAGTTGGAAGAAGGTTGTTGTTTTACCAGAGTGACAGGGATCACATTTGCAGATTAAATTTACCATCCACAAACTTCTTAGGACACGATATTTCCATATTACGAAAGAAATTTGACATTTGATAAGCGGTCTCGATCAATTAAGAAAAATCATGGCTTTGGCGCATGACCTTGTTTAATGGCTGGCGACGAATACATATGTTCATTCATCCTTGTTAATATCGGCAACTTAAATTACTCGAAACATTCTTACCAATGCCGTAATAGAAAAACTGATACTACCATATTTAAATGCCCTATGTCGTTCACTGCACGATGTTATAGAAATTATAAATAGAATCGATATTTCGTACCCTGTGTAAATGCCCCGCGATCTCAAGGGACCTTAACTAAAGTAAATATATGTTGTGGGAACGCTGTCGTTAACATGAAGATTTATCGGCTTTAATTAGCGTATTTCATATGCCAACACACTAAGAACTTACCTAATCATTGTTCATTTTTACGTATTGATGTGCATTTTAAATGCTTTGAAGGCAAAATACTGATAAAGTTTGATTCTCATCATGTTTCGGTAAAATATATCTCCTTCAGTAAAAAAAGTGTGCACGTTTCCAAGAAGGTAAGTTATCAACTCAAAAAATACCAAAACAAATCCTGAAATCATTTTATTAATTAACCCTGTTAACATTCATATAATTGGACGTATAGTATTTCATTTCATCGTTTTGTAACTGTTGTTTTATCCTACGTTAGGTTTTAATGTACAAGAAGTACAGAACCTCTCCACCACCCCGAACCCAAACCAATCCCACCCCACCCACCCCTTCCGACACACACACTTTACATGTGCCAGGAGGCATAGTCTATATCTGTGTAAATATAAATTTAAATATTTAAATATAACGATTTAGGTTAAAATATAACAATCAAGATTTAATAATACAATAATGAATCAACGAACAAAGAGACTTCAGAACTGATTTTTCGTGTTGCACATATACGACAAAAAAGTCTCTTGTGTCTTGTATCTTGTAAATTGCTGAACCTTATATAAAGTGTTTAACTGCTTTTGAGGGAAAAACAGGTATATTTAAGATAGGTGCAGTGACGGTAAACATTCTTTACAGACCAGAGATATCAGAAAACAATGTAACATGACCACTGTTGAAAGAAAACCTGGCAGGTAACTAATATATATGCACACTATAAATAGAGACAACCAGGAAGGTATTGATACCGTTTGATTCAAGACACAGACATAATGGTTAAAGGACTAAAGTAGGTCCGACGTTCTATGGATGTCTAAGTGGACCTAACACAACATGGACAGAAAGAAACAGTACAAAGGTAAGTAAACCTTGTATAATATACACTGACAACCAATACTGTACTCAGTTGTTTATGGGAAGGAAGGGTGGATAGGAGGAGAAAGGCTCATATATATATATAGTGTTACCTAATTCCGTCTGTCTGTATGACTTCACGAATTGACGTCTTCTCTCTCGCGCCTACCTTCGCTTGTGAAAGAATTGCTTTGGTACCTTATACAGATATGAACTACCATAGTACATTAAAATCTGCGTTATTGCATTTTTACTGAATGAAAAGTCACTGTTACTGTAAATAGAACATGTTCGCGCAGTAACAACATCTGTGTAGCGTTTATATTTGTTGTCGAAGATTTCTATGACGTTTCGAGGTTACGTAAGAAGGAATCCTTTACTGGTGGGCATATAAAGCATTTTTTACCAAATGGTCAAGATTGTGTTTGTTGTATGGTGTTTAACAATAAACGCGACAGCTAGAGTCATATCATGTTGTTTCTCGAAGGTTACAGCTATGAAATCGACGTCACATAAACGCTTATGTCTGTGATGGTTACAATAAAATACACAATAACCAATTTCATCGCCAACCAATATTTCCCGCCTAGAAATTGTCCTTTCAGGATGGATAATAGGTCGTCGATAAATGGAATTCGAAAGCAAATAAAAACACTCTACACAGCTAGGACTGTTTAAAGATCTCCAACATTTAGTTTAGATTTAAGAACAAAACATGAAGTCTTTAAAGATCATTTAACATAAGCTCTACTACCCTCACGATTAACAACCATACTTGTATAGGTCGATCGATTTTTCTTAATGAGATTGCAAAGTGTTGTTTGCCTACCAATATCAAATAACTTAAGGATAGAAAGTTTAGGAGCCGACTCCCAAGTAAAATAAGAGGTTACAGTTTATGATACATTATACGTGTACATATAACTCGTCCAGCCAGGTACTGTCTCTCCACAGGAAAACAGGCATAATACAGATGGTACCTAATATGATCAAACTGACACTGAAACAGCGTATATAATGTCTCATTTAAATACTTGGGCCATTACGTAACAGGCTCCTAGACGGATCTTTCTTTGTCCTATTCATATAAGTACAAATAAGGTGTCATTATCATTGGCACTATGATCACATATCTTGTTAAGTATTATAAAACAAGCCGTTGTCATATTCCTATATAGAATAAATAAATTTGCCAATAAATAATACAAACATGGTCATGAAATAATAACGTAAAATATTATAAAATATCAAAAGCATGTACATTGTAGATTTAAACAACAAAGAAATTGCTGCAGCTCTGTCTACTATGTAGGGTGTCACGTGATATCTAATGATTTAGTCCAGGGGAAAGTTGCGGAACAAAATGCACCTGGACGCACATAATTTCATTTCAGAATTTCGCTTAAACCAACAATAATGTCTTCATGCACACGTGGTGCAGTTTTGCCGCAAAACTCCATGGATATTGTTTCATTTCGAATTATTTTATTACATCAATAACATTTTATGAGAGTTGGGCAACAGACAACCATATATAAGTCCTCTACCGTAGAAATCGAGAGTTTCCAGTGTCTATTCATTGGGACTAAATGAATTTCAGAGGTTCTAGGNCGTAGAAATCGAGAGTTTCCAGTGTCTATTCATTGGGACTAAATGAATTTCAGAGGTTCCAGTAGAAAAGGTCTACCTCTCAGCTATGTCCCCAAGCATCCTCTCTCTTCAGTTGTACTGTCTGTGCCTGTAACCTCTCCGATATTATCCCCTTTCCCTTCCGTCCTGATCAACCTCCTGAATACAAACATCTTATTATTGTACCACGTCATTTAACCCTGGCTGATAACCTCCTTGTTGCAACAACGCATAGGAAGAACACAACTTCTTTCGTTTGGTCATCAATAAAACAAAATTGACAGAAATGATGATATAAAAAGAGAGAAAAAATGACCTTGGGTAAAACACGACATATCAGTAGTTGACATGATGCAGTCACCAAACACCCTAATTAAGTGGAAAGCAGGGAGTGAGGCATTTGAAGCCAGTGTATTGTTATCTTACCAAAATACTAAAATTATTATAAATACAGAATGACTTTGCAGTGAGCTACAGAAATTAATAGGAAAATAATTTATAAACATGCTATCCACAGAGGTAGCATAAGTGGTAATCCAAATATCATTATTGGTGCAGATACAGTTATAGAATATAGCTAAACTCTCTTACACATTAGAGCTGGCCATTTCATTTTTCGACAATGTCTCCCTTCTACATAACATGATGAAACAGGTATGCTATGTTTACATTAAGTTGTTGTGATCAATTATAATGGTTGAGATTATTTTTTCATTTTGATGCAAATATTTTAAAGAATGATAAAATTTGACGAATTTGACATTTGATGAGCGGTCTCGATCAATTAAGAAAAATCATGGCTTTGGCGCATGACCTTGTCTATTGTCTAACATTCACCCTTGTTGATATCGGCAACTTAAATAACTCAAAAAATTCTTACCAATGCCGAAATAGAGAAACTGATACTACCATATCTAAATGCCCAATGTCGTTCACTGCACGATGTTATAGAAATTATAAATAGAATCGATATTATCAATAGTACTGAATGTGTGGATTTCGTATCCTGTGTAAATGCCCCGTAATCTCAGTGTACCTTAACTACCATATACATGTATTGTTTACTGTGGTGTGACTTAGAATTACAAATGTGTGATGAGACACGCTGTCTGAAGTAAATAAACGTTGTGGGAACGCTGTCGTTAACGTGAAGATTTACCGGCTTCAATTTGTGTACTCAATATGTTTCGGTAAAATGTACTTAAAAATATATCTCCTTCGGTTTATTTATCGTGTTCATTCCCTAGAGGGTAAGATATCGACTCAAAAAAATACCAAAATAAATCCTGGAATCGGTTTTATTAATTAACTCTGTTAACCTTAATATAATTGGACGTATAGTATTTCATTTCATCGTTTTGTAACTGTTGTTTTATCCTACGTTAAGGTGTAATGTACAAGAAGTACAGAACCCCTCCACCATCCCGTACTCCAACCAATCCCCATCCCACCAACCCCTTCCGACACACACACTTTACATGTGCCAAGAGTCATAGCCAATATGTGTGTAAATAGAAATTTAAATATTTAAGTATAACGATTTAGGTTAAAATATAACAATCAAGAATGAATCATACAATAATGAATCAACGAATGAAGAGACTTGGATATAAAATTGTAATCGTTTTCTGTCGTAAGAAAATCTCTTCAGAGCTTATGTTTCGTGTTACACATATACGACAAACAATTAAGTTTCTTGTATCTTGTATCTTGTAAATTATTGAACCTAAAATAAAGTGTTTAACAGCCTCTGAGAAAACAACAGGTATATTTAAGATAGGTGTAATGACGGTAAACATTCTTTACAGAAACGAGATATCATCCGCATTCACGATGTAAATATAACATGACCACTGCTATTTGAAAGAAAACCTGGCAGGTAACTAATTGATATGCATATATTCACACTATAAATAGAAACAACCAGGAAGGTATGTATACGGTTTTTGATACAAGACACAGACATAATGGTTAAAGGACTGGAGTAGGTCTGACGTTCTATGGATGTCTAAGTGGACCTAACACAACATGGACAGAAAGAAACAGTACAAAGGTAAGTAAACCTTGTATAATATACACTGACAACCAAAACTGTACACAGTTGTTTATGGGAATGAAGGGTGGATAGGAGGAGAAAGGCTCATATATATATAGTGTTACCTAATTCCGTCTGTCTGTATGACTTCACGAAGTGACGTCTTCTCTCTCGCACCTACCTTCGCTTGTGAAAGAATTGCTTTGGTACCTTATACAGATATGAACTACTATAGTACATTGATCAAATCTGCGTTATTGCATTTTTACTGAATGCAAAGTCACTGTTACTGTAAATAGAACATGTTCGCGCAGTAACAACATCTGTGTAGCGTTTATATTTGTTGTCGAAGATTTCTATGACGTTTCGAGGTTACGTAAGAAGGATCCTTTACTGGTGGGCATATTAAGCATTTTTACCAAATGGTCAAGATTGTGTTTGTTTTCTTGTGTTTAACCATTAACGCGACAGCTAGTCATATGATGTTGTTTCCCGAAAGTTACAGCTATGAAATCGACGTCACATAAACGTTTATGTCTGTGATGGTACAATAAAATACACAATAACCAATTTCATCGCCACCCAATATTTCCCGCCTAGACATTGTCCTTTCAGAATGGATACTAGGCCGTCGATAAATGGAATTTGAAAGCAAATAAAAATACTCTACACAGCCAGGACTGTTTAAAGATCTCTAACATTAAGTTTAGATTTAAGAACAAAACATGCAACGCATAGTCAGTCTTTAAAGGTCATTTAACATAAGCTCTACTACCCTTACGATTAACAATCATACTTGTATAGGTCGATCCTTTTTTAATGAGATGGCAAAGTGTTGTTTGCCTACCAAAATCAAATAACTTAAGGATAGAAAGTTTAGCAGCCGGCTCCCAAGTAAAATAAGAGGTTACAGTTTATGATACATTATACGTGTACATATAACTCGTCCAGCCAGGTACTGTCTCTCCACAGGAAAACAGGCATAATACAGATGGTACCTAATATGATCAAACTGACACTGAAACAGCGTATATAATGTCTCATTTGAATACCCAGGCCGTTACGTAACAGGCTCCTAGACGAATATTTTTTTGTCCTATTCATTTAACTGCAAATAAGGTTTGATTATCATTGGCACTATGATCAGATATCTTGTTAAGAATTATAAAACAAGCCGTTGTCATATTCCTATATAGAATGAATCAACTTGCCAATCAATAATACAAGCATGGTAATGAAATAATAATGTAAAACATTATAAAATATCAAAAGCATGCACATGTAGATTTAAACAACAAAGAAATTGCTGCAGCTCTGTCTACTATGTGGGGTGTCACGTGATATCTAATGATTTAGTCCAGGGGAAAATTGCGGAACAAAATGCACCTGGACGCACATAATTTCATTTCAGAATTTCGCTTAAACCAACAATAATGTCTTCATGCACACGTGGTGCAGTTTTGCCGCAAAACTCCATGGATATTGTTTCATTTCGAATTATTTTATTACATCAATAACATTTTATGAGAGTTGGGCAACAGACAACCATATATAAGTCCTCTACCGTAGAAATCGAGAGTTTCCAGTGTCTATTCATTGGGACTAAATGAATTTCAGAGGTTCCAGTAGAAAAGGTCTACCTCTCAGCTATGTCCCCAAGCATCCTCTCTCTTCAGTTGTACTGTCTGTGCCTGTAACCTCTCCGATATTATCCCCTTTCCCTTCCGTCCTGATCAACCTCCTGAATACAAACATCTTATTATTGTACCACGTCATTTAACCCTGGCTGATAACCTCCTTGTTGCAACAACGCATAGGAAGAACACAACTTCTTTCGTTTGGTCATCAATAAAACAAAATTGACAGAAATGATGATATAAAAAGAGAGAAAAAATGACCTTGGGTAAAACACGACATATCAGTAGTTGACATGATGCAGTCACCAAACACCCTAATTAAGTGGAAAGCAGGGAGTGAGGCATTTGAAGCCAGTGTATTGTTATCTTACCAAAATACTAAAATTATTATAAATACAGAATGACTTTGCAGTGAGCTACAGAAATTAATAGGAAAATAATTTATAAACATGCTATCCACAGAGGTAGCATAAGTGGTAATCCAAATATCATTATTGGTGCAGATACAGTTATAGAATATAGCTAAACTCTCTTACACATTAGAGCTGGCCATTTCATTTTTCGACAATGTCTCCCTTCTACATAACATGATGAAACAGGTATGCTATGTTTACATTAAGTTGTTGTGATCAATTATAATGGTTGAGATTATTTTTTCATTTTGATGCAAATATTTTAAAGAATGATAAAATTTGACGAATTTGACATTTGATGAGCGGTCTCGATCAATTAAGAAAAATCATGGCTTTGGCGCATGACCTTGTCTATTGTCTAACATTCACCCTTGTTGATATCGGCAACTTAAATAACTCAAAAAATTCTTACCAATGCCGAAATAGAGAAACTGATACTACCATATCTAAATGCCCAATGTCGTTCACTGCACGATGTTATAGAAATTATAAATAGAATCGATATTATCAATAGTACTGAATGTGTGGATTTCGTATCCTGTGTAAATGCCCCGTAATCTCAGTGTACCTTAACTACCATATACATGTATTGTTTACTGTGGTGTGACTTAGAATTACAAATGTGTGATGAGACACGCTGTCTGAAGTAAATAAACGTTGTGGGAACGCTGTCGTTAACGTGAAGATTTACCGGCTTCAATTTGTGTACTCAATATGTTTCGGTAAAATGTACTTAAAAATATATCTCCTTCGGTTTATTTATCGTGTTCGTTCCCTAGAGGGTAAGATATCGACTCAAAAAAATACCAAAATAAATTCTGGAATCGGTTTTATTAATTAACTCTGTTAACCTTAATATAATTGGACGTATAGTATTTCATTTCATCGTTTTGTAACTGTTGTTTTATCCTACGTTAAGGTGTAATGTACAAGAAGTACAGAACCCCTCCACCATCCCGTACTCCAACCAATCCCCATCCCACCAACCCCTTCCGACACACACACTTTACATGTGCCAAGAGTCATAGCCAATATGTGTGTAAATAGAAATTTAAATATTTAAGTATAACGATTTAGGTTAAAATATAACAATCAAGAATGAATCATACAATAATGAATCAACGAATGAAGAGACTTGGATATAAAATTGTAATCGTTTTCTGTCGTAAGAAAATCTCTTCAGAGCTTATGTTTCGTGTTACACATATACGACAAACAATTAAGTTTCTTGTATCTTGTATCTTGTAAATTATTGAACCTAAAATAAAGTGTTTAACAGCCTCTGAGAAAACAACAGGTATATTTAAGATAGGTGTAATGACGGTAAACATTCTTTACAGAAACGAGATATCATCCGCATTCACGATGTAAATATAACATGACCACTGCTATTTGAAAGAAAACCTGGCAGGTAACTAATTGATATGCATATATTCACACTATAAATAGAAACAACCAGGAAGGTATGTATACGGTTTTTGATACAAGACACAGACATAATGGTTAAAGGACTGGAGTAGGTCTGACGTTCTATGGATGTCTAAGTGGACCTAACACAACATGGACAGAAAGAAACAGTACAAAGGTAAGTAAACCTTGTATAATATACACTGACAACCAAAACTGTACACAGTTGTTTATGGGAATGAAGGGTGGATAGGAGGAGAAAGGCTCATATATATATAGTGTTACCTAATTCCGTCTGTCTGTATGACTTCACGAAGTGACGTCTTCTCTCTCGCACCTACCTTCGCTTGTGAAAGAATTGCTTTGGTACCTTATACAGATATGAACTACTATAGTACATTGATCAAATCTGCGTTATTGCATTTTTACTGAATGCAAAGTCACTGTTACTGTAAATAGAACATGTTCGCGCAGTAACAACATCTGTGTAGCGTTTATATTTGTTGTCGAAGATTTCTATGACGTTTCGAGGTTACGTAAGAAGGATCCTTTACTGGTGGGCATATTAAGCATTTTTACCAAATGGTCAAGATTGTGTTTGTTTTCTTGTGTTTAACCATTAACGCGACAGCTAGTCATATGATGTTGTTTCCCGAAAGTTACAGCTATGAAATCGACGTCACATAAACGTTTATGTCTGTGATGGTACAATAAAATACACAATAACCAATTTCATCGCCACCCAATATTTCCCGCCTAGACATTGTCCTTTCAGAATGGATACTAGGCCGTCGATAAATGGAATTTGAAAGCAAATAAAAATACTCTACACAGCCAGGACTGTTTAAAGATCTCTAACATTAAGTTTAGATTTAAGAACAAAACATGCAACGCATAGTCAGTCTTTAAAGGTCATTTAACATAAGCTCTACTACCCTTACGATTAACAATCATACTTGTATAGGTCGATCCTTTTTTAATGAGATGGCAAAGTGTTGTTTGCCTACCAAAATCAAATAACTTAAGGATAGAAAGTTTAGCAGCCGGCTCCCAAGTAAAATAAGAGGTTACAGTTTATGATACATTATACGTGTACATATAACTCGTCCAGCCAGGTACTGTCTCTCCACAGGAAAACAGGCATAATACAGATGGTACCTAATATGATCAAACTGACACTGAAACAGCGTATATAATGTCTCATTTGAATACCCAGGCCGTTACGTAACAGGCTCCTAGACGAATATTTTTTTGTCCTATTCATTTAACTGCAAATAAGGTTTGATTATCATTGGCACTATGATCAGATATCTTGTTAAGAATTATAAAACAAGCCGTTGTCATATTCCTATATAGAATGAATCAACTTGCCAATCAATAATACAAGCATGGTAATGAAATAATAATGTAAAACATTATAAAATATCAAAAGCATGCACATGTAGATTTAAACAACAAAGAAATTGCTGCAGCTCTGTCTACTATGTGGGGTGTCACGTGATATCTAATGATTTAGTCCAGGGGAAAATTGCGGAACAAAATGCACCTGGACGCACATAATTTCATTTCAGAATTTCGCTTAAACCAACAATAATGTCTTCATGCACACGTGGTGCAGTTTTGCCGCAAAACTCCATGGATATTGTTTCATTTCGAATTATTTTATTACATCAATAACATTTTATGAGAGTTGGGCAACAGACAACCATATATAAGTCCTCTACCGTAGAAATCGAGAGTTTCCAGTGTCTATTCATTGGGACTAAATGAATTTCAGAGGTTCCAGTAGAAAAGGTCTACCTCTCAGCTATGTCCCCAAGCATCCTCTCTCTTCAGTTGTACTGTCTGTGCCTGTAACCTCTCCGATATTATCCCCTTTCCCTTCCGTCCTGATCAACCTCCTGAATACAAACATCTTATTATTGTACCACGTCATTTAACCCTGGCTGATAACCTCCTTGTTGCAACAACGCATAGGAAGAACACAACTTCTTTCGTTTGGTCATCAATAAAACAAAATTGACAGAAATGATGATATAAAAAGAGAGAAAAAATGAGTGGCAGACGTAGAAAGGTTCTTTCTTTTTCCACGTGGTCGACTTCACGATTTTGAAATTAAGTGGTATTCTACTCATTTTCAATTCTTTAGGTGCTCTGAAAAAGTATAAAATTGATAGTAGAATAAATAATAACCTTTTGTTATCCATGTAATGGATTCCTCTGTCATGTCGTCATAAAAGCATGTCTATAAATTACAATAAGATAAACAGCGAAACAAGGGTTTAGTGCAAGTTAGTTGGATATATCACGAGACAAAGAGTGATAACTAGATTTATCATTCTTATGTAATATTTTCAACTCACCAGTAACATCAATTCTACCCCAGTAAGTTAAAACAACGTGTCAGTACATAACTTTCACCTTTACATCTTACCCAAGTCTCTTTGTATGTCAGCTTTTCCAATGGAATTCCTTTTTGCTTATTAATGCTATTATTTGTAAACCAATATCACATGTACGTAGCCTTATATTCTTCTCGACTTTGGTATGTTATTATGATATCTTGATAGGTGGACACGAACAGATTTTCACTAAATGTAATGATGTCATTTGAATATTTCTGGGAAAGATCTGATGAAAGGGTGAATGTTATCTAAGCATATGTTGAACCTGTCTTTATTTTTATTTAGGTTCCTGTTGCTTTTTCTTTTGTTAATATGTCTCTCGGTTATTGTTTTTGTTGTTTCTTTTTTGTATCAAATTATTTATTCATAAAACAAATGTGTTAATACTGTATAATCGAATATTTTCGTGGGGTCAAAATTTCGTGGTTTTCATATACTGTGCCAAGAACATTATTTTTTGTTGATTTCTGATTTTCCCCTATTTATTTCATACCAAATTTACGTGGGGATTTAATTACGTGGATTTATTGTTATCCACGAAATAAACGAATTTAATGTCCTACGAAAATTTACGTTTTCACAGTATGACGATTAGAGAATTTTCAAAAAAAGAAACAGAAACATCCGCATTATTTTCTTTATCTTTTCTGAAAATAAACCGTGAAACTTACCAAAAACGTTGTAAAATTTTGTCCATGTCTTTATAATCTGCTTGGGTTGGTTTGGCATTTGATCTGGTATAACTATTGTGTAACTATAATGTCTTTTCAATAAACATATGAGTTATCATCCGTCACATATGATTCAAACATTTCATTAGTTTGTATAGATCAATCAAATACACTATGGCTCGAATACTCAAGCTAAAACCAATGGATATGAAAGTGGGAGGTTTTTAATACTTTTGCTTGCAGGAGCATACATCTCCTGCCAATACCACAGTTTGGTTACTGAAATATGATGGCCTCAAACGGATAGTTTTAAGTCTATAAATAATGTTTGAAAACGAAAAGGACACAGAATATTAAAGATACGTATCGTACTTTTGAATAGCACGGTTTTCTTTATACGTAATGACAGACCAGAGGAACATGTCTTAATGCAAACATATAATTAGAAAAGATAATTCTTGATTTTGGCCATTTCGAAAACGACGTTGCAATAAGCGTTTATCCATTACAACTTCAATGACTATGACGTCATCTTCATGGCCTTGTTACTGTCTTCATTTCAGTTATAGATTGGGGAAAATATTTTGGACATTTTATTGATAAGACTAGCAAACGGTACAGTTTACGTGTTCACATACATGTACATTACAAGTTATCTACGTTTTGTAACCATTCATCAAGAATTGTCTAAAGTAACAACAACATTCAAAATGTTTTGAATAATATGGAGATTAAATCGGGAATTTTCCAATCTTAATGAAAGTATGAACAGGAGACGTTTTATCAGCTCACTACATGAGCGGACGTAGCGAAGCGAAAGGTTTTTAATAATGAAATCCTTTGGCGAGGTACATTTTTATGTGTAAAAATAAAAGGTTACATTTATCCTTTGAGTGTCGTTAGAAAATGAAACTTGAAAAAGGTGTCGAGAATATCTTTTTTGAGATTGACAGTTACGACAGCGAGTGTTACAGTCGAACAAAAAACAGAGCAGGAAGTCTTCTTTTATGTGTTTAATATCAATACATCGTACACAGCCAGATGCTATCTCCTTGAGACTGTTTACAATAACGAGTGTTCTCAATGGGATAAAAATTACTCTGTAACAGGTACGTGTTTATAATACAATCTCGCGTTTCACATAATTCTGTCCTTATGCAATGACACATGATGCATCTTGTTATTACGTAAGTCGAAGAACAATGCGACACCATGATCGTTCAGTTTGTTAACAATTATCAAGACCATCCTCATATCACAGTTTGTTTGCCCAGCTGAGTCCATACAAAAATTCACATAAATAAATCAATGATATTCATATTTTATTTTATTAAATTTCGCACAAAATCGTTTCTTTCATATATATTAGCAACCACTTCATGACAAGATTTATATTATTGCATTTAAGCGTTCGTTCCAATAGAAGACACATTGTGTGTGAGGTTGTTTGTCAATTTGATAGGACACATCATTGTAGGTATCACATTTTTTGTAAAAACAAAGTTTGTTGTTTTTGACTTCGGTTTAAATGATACTTTATAGTATACATCCTCTTATTTTATTTTTATTTTTCTTTGGTTTTTTACTTTAACTATCTAAATTTTGGTGTTTGCTTATATCAACGATAGAATTTGTTCATACTGTATACATATACCTTGAATTGTTGCCATCATGGTGTTGCACTCAATTTCAAGCAACATATCCTGACATTTATATGAATTTAGAATGTAATAAACAATCAAATTGGTGAAGATTATATTACATCTGAGAAATATAGGTAAACAAGCTACTGCTACAACAACTGTTATATGTCTAAGATATCGCCTAAAAATGTACCCTTTTTAACACGCCCACGACGCGTTTGCAATACAACCCACATCCACCAGAGGGGCCATGTGATCAGATAGTGGTCGTATTTATTTAGTTTAGTTAGAAAAAACCCATATTTCTTGTCAGTGTGATTGTTGGTTTGCCACTTTCCACGCCTTCACCGGAGAACTTCACCAAAGGTTATATAACCCTAATATTACGTTCTCCTTTTTTCATGTGGTGCTGTTAGTTTTAACCTTTATGATGAAATTCAGGTCCAATATTGGTATTACCGTAGCTAATCTGCTAGAGAAAAATACAAAGAATCAAGGTAAATAAGATTAATTGAATTTTCATCATTTTGCCTCCGTATATATGGCTCTAAGGTCAGGTTTGAGATCATTCCAGGTTAAAAATGGTAACATAGGGGTTAATCTGGCGTTATATCTTATTTGGAAGATAAAATCGTTTGATCTTGTTTGTTGTTGTTGTTGTTTTGTTGGGGAGGGGGGGGGGGCAGGGGGCCGCTTTTTGTCGAATTTTTAAAGTTATTTAAAAAAGAAAACATCGCTATATCAAAAATATATATAAAACAACGTACGCAGAAATAACCAGTAATATTTTAATGCATCTTAACAGCTTTATGTAAAGATTTATACGATTTTTTCAGGTCCCCATGTCGATTATATCGGACGAACTCACAGACAAAATAGCAATGAATCACGTATACCTAGTTCGTACGACCGTGGCAATGGTGAGAACAGACGCATTTCAAGTGGCATAGCGTTCGAGAACTATGCCATACCTGACGAATATTATGTTGATGATCCTTATGGGAACAAGAGGACTGACAACTCAAAACGTCATTGGGCAAAAGCCGACTGGCCACGGGTGAGTACTGCTTCTGTCGCTGCTTTATTTAAGAACAAATTTACCTGAACTGAGGTAACAGCGACGTCGTACAATCAAATTATCAGGTTTCTGTCAAATTTGTTATTAAGTTTCTAATTAGCGGAATTCATTTACTTACAATAACTAATGTTTTGTTGCATCGATGGTTATCACAAATGTATGAAGGAAGAAGAATCCCCATGCATTGATATCTGAACAAATGAAGTAGACAATATTATCACGTAAACCAAAAAGGAAAACCATGTTAAAAGATCAAGCTGAACACCAACGGTTAAAATATGTGATTTAGAATATTGTTTTTGCTAAACTTCAGCAAGATATGGAGTCTTACAGCCACCCAAGCGATATGAGCCATAATGCACACAACCATAGATCCAAGCGCCGCCCCGCTAAAAAAGATACTGACCGTCGTCCCCCAAGATACCAGAAAGGAAGAAACCCTAACATCCTGCTGTCAACTCTGGCCGTTTTCACGATAGCGGTTGTCGTAGCTACCCCACTGTTGATTATCTATGTCTTCGGAGGAGGTAATCAAACACACACATACCTGCGGCTTTTTGCGTTGTATTTTGTTGTTTTATCTTGGAGGGAGTATAATCAAACCAATCGCATAATGGAAACGTCCTCTTTACTGTCGAATATGCTGGTCAACGTAGCTTCACAAATTGGTCAGATAAATCAGACGACACACAGTAAGATTACCCATTTCATTCTAGTGAACTAAAGTATGTTTTTATCTTACCAGTCTTGGGATACAATGTATGTCTTTCACACACCCTTCACAGGTGTGTCTCCCGTTTTAGCCGGTAAAGATTAGCTTATCATCCCCTAGGGGGAGATAGCCTTGTGCCGATTAGCACGTGTTTAATTGTGACCTCATTAAAACGCGTCATCGGTTATTGTGATGTCATCAAAAAATTGCCAAACTATATTCACAAACATTTTTTTTCTGAATATATGAAAGCGGTATGATATTGTGCAATATCGAAAACTCGATACCCGCTTACTCAGATTCAATGGAATTAAGCCTATTTAGAGCTTTGTGACTATGTTTTACTTTTTCTATTTTATGAATAGCATTTCATTTTGAATATTCTCATATTTATCTGGAAATCATGCAAGCTGTATCAAAATGAAACTTGTGGTAAATGTTTTCTCAGCATTATTCGTCACTAAAAAGGAATTAAAACGTTAATCAAACTAAACTTAAAACAACATGTACAGATGTTATTAAGATGTAGATGCACACGTCCCTGAAGAAAGGTAGGGAGCCGGAAAGTTAAAGGAAGATAATCACTTAAAACAATATGTACAGATGTTGTTAGGATGTAGATGTACACGTCCCTGTAGAAAGGTAGGGAGCCGGAAAGTTAAAGGAAGATAATCACTTAAAACAATATGTACAGATTTTATAAGAATGTAGATGTACACGTCCCTGTAGGAAGGTAGGGAGCTGGATAGTTAAAGGGAGATAATCACTTAAAACAACATGTACAGATGTTATTAGGATGTAGATGTACACGTCCCTGTACAAAGGTAGGGAGCTGGAAAGTTAAAGGGAGATAATCACTAAAAACAACATGTACAGATAATGTTAGAATGTAGATGTACACCTCCCTGTAGAAAGGTAGGGAGCTGGAAAGTTAAAGGGAGATAATCACTTAAAACAACATGTACAGATGTTATGAGGATGCAGATGTACACGTCCCTGTACAAAGGTAGGGAGCTGGAAAGTTAAAGGGAGATAATCACTAAAAACAACATGTACAGATAATGTTAGAATGTAGATGTACACCTCCCTGTAGAAAGGTAGGGAGCTGGAAAGTTAAAGGGAGATAATCACTTAAAACAACATGTACAGATGTTATGAGGATGCAGATGTACACGTCCCTGTACAAAGGTAGGGAGCTGGAAAGTTAAAGGGAGATAATCACTAAAAACAACATGTACAGATAATGTTAGAATGTAGATGTACACCTCCCTGTAGAAAGGTAGGGAGCTGGAAAGTTAAAGGAAGATAATCACTTAAAACAACATGTACAGATGTTATTAGGATGTAGATGTAAACGTCCCTGTAGAAAGGTAGGGGGCTGGAAAGTTAATGGGAGATAATCACTTAAAACAACATGTACAGATTTTATAAGAATGTAGATGTACACGTCCCTGTAGGAAGGTAGGGAGCTGGATAGTTAAAGGGAGATAATCACATAAAACAACATGTACAGATGATGTTAGAATGTAGATGTACACCTCCCTGTAGAAAGGTAGGGAGCTGGAAAGTTAAAGGGAGATAATCATTAAAAACAACATGTACAGATGTTATGAGGATGTAGATGGACACCTCCCTGTAGAAAGGTAGGGTGCTGGAAAGTTAAAGGGAAATAATCACTTAAAACAACATGAACAGATGTTATTAGGATGCAGATGTACACGTCCCTGTACAAAGGTAGGGAGCTGGAAAGTTAAAGGGAGATAATCACTTAAAACAACATGTACAGATTTTATAAGAATGTAGATGTACACGTCCCTGTAGAAAGGGAGGGAGCTGGAATGTTAAAGGGAGATAATCACTTAAAACAACATGTACAGATGTTATTAGGATGTAGATGTACACGTCCCTGTTGAAAGGTAGGGAGCTGGATAGTTAAAGGGAGATAATCAATGGAACAGGAAAGAAAGTTAATAATAAATATAAAGTTGAGTATTAATACTACATTGTAAATAATACAATTTTTCAATTGTTTTTCTCCGATTTGAAATTTGTTTCATGCTAAACATTTCTTCAACTTTGGCTTATTACTTTTTTATTTTTTAAGCACAATCACACTGCATAATCAAAATTCAATCTTGAACATTATCTGTTGGAGGTTACCAAAATTAAAAAGGAGGTCCTCAAATGTTCATGTATTTTGTATAAATGGCGTTAACGTGTGTACTTATTTGGTGCAAATATGTCATCAAGGGATGATGATAATGCAGGACAAAATAATATTGGGCGTTGTACAAAAATTGTGTTTATTATGACGTTAGACCTATCAATACCTTGTCATACAATTTAGTTTGAATCATGTCACATTGATATCGTCGAAACTGCAAACGATCTAATACTTTAAAAAAATGTATTATCAAATATCGATATCATAATAACAAATAATAAGACAAATATGATAAAATAAATAAACAACTTGGTCAAAGTAACTTTGGTTTATGCAATGGGAGAAATTCAACCGACAAACGTTTATTGACATACGGGAATCTGGAAACTTTTAAAAGAGACCACTTACTGAAGATTTGCTACTTTTCCGCTGTATCAATCTTACAAGTGTTGGCTATATTTTTGTTTCAGGAACCCCGATCACTGAAGGTGAGTTATTCTGATTTATCAAAGAAAGAAATGTGCTAAAATTCAAAATTGAAATATGATCAAAATTAATGTTCTGTTATCATTGTTTGATAAGAAATCCTAAAAAAAAATATATCCAAACTGGTCATTGCATCCATTTCATATCTTCTATTATGTCAATACAAACTCCAAATAATTACAACTTAACAGACCTGCGTTTTAAATCTATGATTGAACGTGTATTTATGAATACTGGCACAAAAATGTTTTCATTGATGTTGTCTTACCAATATATTAACCTGTAATAATTGCTTTGTGTTGCGTTTTATATTTACATAATGATGAAATACAGGAACAATAAACCTGGAAATAAAGCTCGCTGAACAGTTTCAAAACGGTATGGAGAGTCCTACTTCCACAGTGTTCAAGTCGACGGAGAAGGACCTTTGTCCAGAGGTAACTTTATTAGGAAAGTTATAATTATTTGAGCTTAAAACAATTAATACGATGAAACATTGACATTATCTCAGTCTCCGAAGGCGCTTTTGAATATGTAATCACTATCACCAATGTATATGTATCTGATGACAGGTAGAACGTGCATTTACTACCGACAGGAACTCCCAACGGAACACAAACTATGCGTGCAAGCTGAAATCACTAAGGTAGGTATATGCGGTTTAGTGAAACAATGCATTAATTAGAAACTATGATAAATTAGGTTTATGTTGCCTAGTGTGTTTATTAGATGCTTTAACTAGGTAGGTATATGTGGTTATAGTGACACGATACATTCATTAGATACTGTGAACTTTATCTGTGTGTACTTCCATGTATAACACCTCCAGTAGTATAGGCACTGTACCGTATACTAAATGTAAACGACTTGCGCCTGATTTCCTGTCCAAGCAAGGTAAACACCTGGTGAATCTGATTCCAACAAATGGAAACCAAAATAAAATATCTTAATATGTAATAGGTTGCACGAGTGTGTTTCTCTCAAACACCATAATAGTCATTTACCAATACAGATGAAATCCAATGCTACATAATATCGATATCTTTACAAAAGTATCCTTTTATAAATATATAGATAACTTACTAATTTAAGTAAAACTGATTTTAAAACAAAATCGAAAGAGGAATATACTCTTTGAAATAAACATAGCATTTTCTTGTTCGTTAATTCATATATCATATCTAAAACCGTCCATTTACATTAATTTATATAGCAAACGATTTGCATACATGTAATTTGTCGTCATTTCAGAACTGGCAGCATCATTTGCACTTTAGTGTTAAGCATAACCGGCCGATACACCATACCTGACAACGATAAATATGTCCAAACGATTACAACATACATAGGAGCAGCGAGGACCCTGGGGTCATTTACAGTAATACATGGATCCATAGTTGTCACGTCTGCTTCATATATGAAGCAAGGCGTCCAAACGATAATGACAACAACCGCATCTGAGCCCACGACAACGACATCCACTCCAGAGACAACAACTACTATCACTATTCCCCCTGGTACAAATCTTACCATTTCACACTTGATTATGTTTTTAAAGCGACCAGTGCTAGCGTATGCCTGATATCGATCAGTATCCTGCTTGCTACTCACATTTTATTTTCATTGACTTGGTCATATATTTTACAATGAATTGTGCAAAGAAATTAGCATAATAAATGTGATAGTTTGTTTCGCTTCAGAACCCGGGGAAACATGTTTCTGTATATTCATGTTTTGTAATACTCAATACTAGCATTAGCATAACGAAACAAAACAATAATGTATAAGTTACAAATCAGGCGAAATATTTACAAAACAGCGCATAGAAGATTGAAACATACCGGAATGTAACCAATGTGTATTATTTTAAATATGCTGAAATAAGTATAAACAACGACTATTTTTTGTTTACAACTGATTAGACTATTGATAAGGATGTTTTTAGAAGGCTGTGTGAATATAACAAATTAGAATCCATTCTAGTAATCAATTCATCATCAAGTTTAACACGTTTGAAATAATAATGAAAGTTGTGATATGTTTGGTTTCTTTCAGAATTTCAACTTAACAGATCGCTAATATCCAAACGTCCTTCGTTCTTATTAGCTCGTGCATTCTTCTGTTATCTTGGTACGAATGAAACTGACTTTATACTAGATAGAATGATATGAGATATAGCAAACAAAGATAAAATGCTCTTAAAATAATATAGAAAAAACATTAATGTTAAAGATGAAGCTTAAGATAATCTGATGAAGTGATAATGCACTTACTGATGAAGTGATAATGCACTTTTTGTTCTGCGTCCTTTAATTTTTCATCTGTCAAGCCCTATCTCATCACATTTTGTAATACTTTATCGTATGAACATTTCAAACGAAAATTAATCAGTTTGGATAAACGACATGCAGATTGCGAGCGATGTCGTCAGTACTTGCTACAGCATTAATGAGGCGATAATCCTCCTTAACCGAAAACAAAATCAGTTTGATCCTTAACAAAACGAAACGATGTTTTCCTTGAAAACACAGGTCGAGTTCTTTCCTTGAAGATGAATATTTCACCCTGATATGATGCTAGTCGCTTTCCACCGGCCCAGATAAGGATTTTGTTCTAGACCGTTAAGCTAGTAAACCAGAAAATGCTATGTCAACAACGAAGATGTTGAATAGTTGCAAATGTCGCATTTCCTCGAGAGTGAATATGAAGCTTTTCCTGTGACACGGAGCTTGGGACGACATGGCAAAATGTTGTAAAGCAACCTGATCTTGCAGGATATTGTGCAACAAAATGCAATTATTAATTTCGGGCCACTTCTGAAACACCTTACCTATTTCTCCTTGTCCTTTTCTCAATCGTGTCTATGTAAATGTTTCTCCTGATCATATCATGCCATATTGAGTCCGAATTTTGGTTTTGATTACACGTCGTTATTATTATTTAAAACGTTGAAAATAAAGACATTTTTTTTAAGTTTAATGAAGAGTAATTATCGGTTATTTGTTTCGAATGTAACGTATTTTCGCGTTCGTTAAGACAGGAGTTGCAAGTAGATATGTTACCCATCAATAACATTTGATACCGCAACGATAGAATAAAAACCCATTGAACAAAAAACCGAAGAATTCCATGTGCATTCAGGATTGATCGGAATGCATATTTATTTTATGAATTGTGCAGATATAATTGTATGTCAATTTCAGTCGATATCCAACATTAATACATTATTTATTAGAACATCGTTTATTTCAGAAATGGAAATGAATGACTCAATCACCACACCTGAAGAGGAGATCACCATTAGCTGTAACGCACGGTACGCTCCGTCCGGATGGGATAACTTCAGTATAGTATCAGTGAACAATGATGACATCCACGTGACAGCCTTTTCAAACGGAACTATTCGACAGAGCAACAGTTCTTATACAGCTAGACTTCAACAAAGTAGTCCAGATATGATACTTAGCGTGCTGTTTCCTAATACCACGACACACTGTTACGCTAGAGGGAGTTATGTGTGTTCATTGACAGACGATGGAATCATCGTCATCAATGATACAGCCACAGTTATAATTACGAGTAAGGTCAAAGAAATTGATGTATGCTTGGAAAAAGTGATGAAATGGAGGTTATGTATTTTATCAAGTGTGTTTACTATAAACTTGAACAAATCCATGTTTAGCGTTAATATTTTAGCCCTAAAGCATCATTCACCACGTTAATATTTTAGCCCTAAAGCATCATTCACCACGTTGATATTTTGTTTGGTAAATATAACAATAGCATTATCACCATAACATTATAAGAGATATAGAGTAACATTATTAAATAATTGCAAATAAGCTTGGTACGACTGGCATCATTCAGTGCTAGTAGGAACATAGAATCGTTTGTTAATGGACCTAAACTGTTTATTAATGTATTGTTAATTACTATGATAGCTATAGGTAAACGATTAGTGTGCATCATTATACTTTACTTAATGATTCCAAACTGCCATATATATATATCTATTTATATCAAACGCATCCCACCATCAGATTATTTCAGTAACATCTATCTCATTTGTTGAAGATCGAGCCAGCAACCTAACACTTAAAGGTAACGGCACAGTTAATGAGGGTGACAGGTACGAGATGAACTGTTCCGGTAGAGTAGCTACAGAAGGCGGGGATCTCCACCTCCATGTACGATCTGGTAATACTTCGGACTTTATCAGGACCACAGAAGTTCCCATAGTAACAGTTGGCGAATTCAATGACTTATGTTACCAGTCCGTAACCAAAACCTACCATTTTTTCGCTGAAAAGGTCCAGAATGGAACAGAATTCTCATGTGTCGCCACTAATGTCAAATTATCATCCTACCAAACCAGCAGTTCAATCGACATGGTAGTGGACTTTGCAGGTAATGTCCACTTACAAATCGTGTTTTCTTTAATTACGCTATTCCCCCCTAAACAAATTGTAAAATTGAGTAGTCTTGCATTTTCAAAATAGTTATTATTTTATACCTATTAACCGACACAGCCATGCTTTTTTACGGGGCTATATCTTTGCAATCTCCTTTCTTTGATCAATGTACAAACTTTGCTCTAAGCTTATAATTTACAATTGAATCAGTCATGGACTGTGCGAAAATCTGCTTATCAAAAATAACCTAAAAAACTAATTTACGTACATTACAATGCCTTACTGAAAACAAACTACTCTACAACTTAATTTACGTACATTATAACGCTTTACTGAAAACAAACTACTCTACAACTTAATTTACGTACATTACAATGCCTTACAGAAAACAAACTACTCTACAACTTAATTTACGTACATTACAACGCCTTACTGAAAACACACTACTATACAACTGAATTTACGTACATTACAACGCCTTACTGAAAACTCACTCCTCTACAACTTAATTTACGTACATTACAACGCCTTACTGAACACAAACTACTCTACAACTTAATTTACGTACATTACAATGCCTTACAGAAAACAAACTACTCTACAACTTAATTTACGTACATTACAATGCCTTACAGAAAACAAACTACTCTACAACTTAATTTACGTACATTACAATGCCTTACTGAAAACAAACTATTCTACAACTTAATTTACGTACATTACAACGCCTTACTGAAATCACACTACTCTACAACTTAATTTACGTACATTACAACGCCTTACTGAAAACACACTACTATACAACTGAATTTACGTACATTACAACGCCTTACTGAAAACTCACTCCTCTACAACTTAATTTACGTACATTACAACGCCTTACTAAAAACACACTACTCTACAAATAACCTAAAAAACTAATTTACGTACATTACAGTGCCTTACTGAAAACAAACTACTCTACAACTTAATTTGCGTACATTACAATGCCTTACTGAAAACAAACTATTCTACAACTTAATTTACGTACATTACAACGCCTTACTGAAAACACACTACTCTACAACTGAATTTACGTACATTACAACGCCTTACTGAAAACTCACTCCTCTACAACTTAATTTACGTACATTACAACGCCTTACTGAACACAAACTACTCTACAACTTAATTTACGTACATTACAATGCCTTACTGAAAACAAACTATTCTACAACTTAATTTACGTACATTACAACGCCTTACTAAAAACACACTACTCTACAAATAACCTAAAAAACTAATTTACGTACATTACAATGCCTTACTGAAAACAAACTATTCTACAACTTAATTTACGTACATTACAACGCCTTACTGAAATCACACTACTCTACAACTTAATTTACGTACATTACAATGCCTTACTGAAAACAAACTATTCTACAACTTAATTTACGTACATTACAACGCCTTACTGAAAACACACTACTCTACAACTGAATTTACGTACATTACAACGCCTTACTGAAAACACACTCCTCTACAACTTAATTTACGTACATTACAACGCCTTACTGAAAACTCACTCCTCTACAACTTAATTTACGTACATTACAACGCCTTACTGAAAACATACTACTCTACAACTTAATTTCAATGGTTACATATCAGCCAATAATAATACTCTACAAGAGACTAATTTGTTGTGTATTAAAACAAAATCATTACATTTTCTATTAGCTTTCAACACTCAGTTTCATTTGCAAAATACTACATGGATCCCTGCCCTCGGTGACAAAAACAGTGATGAATTCAAGAGCTTTGCAGAGAAAATAGAAAGTGACGTAAGTTTATTCTATAACTATTTTTATTATTTGAGAAATTATTCGATCTTATTCAGCAAAAACAAATCGATTTTATTTGACAATACAGATGTTATGTGGGGAAAGAATCACTTCCCTTCGGAGTTATGTGGAGAAATAATCGCTTTCCTTCGGAGTATTTTTGTTCGCGGGTAGCTGTAAAAGTTATTCTGTATTTATTTCTGCGTTCCTAGTGTATCTTTTGTGTTGATGGTATGGTATATGTGCTGTTAAATGTATCTTTGCAGACTGACTATGTATACGAGAGAAGCAATATCAAGGATAACTACAAGAGAAGCAAAGTCATTGGACTCGAGTAAGTTTTTTCATGTTCCACTGCAGGTTTCAACTCATAAACATTATTTATACAGGCTCGGCCACTGGTTTTTTCTGGTACACACCTTCTTACATAGTTAACGCCATTTTTTTTAATAATATGCATTAGATAAAATGCTCTTGTAAACAATATCATCAATATAATCTGGTATGTGTTTTTAATGCAAAAATGAACAATACACTTTTTGATTGATTTATTGATTCATGTCTTTTTTAGACCTGGAAGTGTCAACGTCATTTTCGTGATGTTTATAGAAATACAAGTGATTATCACCGATAGCTTTAACAATGTAATCACAACAAAGCTGACAGCTGCCGACATCGTTACAGCATTTGTGGTCACTCTCCCTCTGGTTGCCGACAGTCTTACCGAAAGTGACCTTAAAAGCGTAGAAACCAACAGCATTGTCGGACAAGTCATTATTACTGGTATGTTACATCTAAACATATTTCAAATACAAACAAATGTGCAGCTACATAATTATTGTACTTGGCCTATAACAGAGATAGAAACATAGAGGCAGAAACAGAGAGAGAAACAAAGAGACAGAGAGAGACAGAGGGAGAGAGAGAAGACTGAATAACGATTATCTCGCTACCAGAGCGTAGCGCTCCTTAGTTACTTAGAGTAAAACATGTTTAGAACCCGACTGGCTAATTGGATATTGTAAAACATTTTGCATTATCACAGTGAAATACAGGTACCTGTATTGCAAGGCTTGAAAAATGCCTGAATCACTATAGGCAAATACCAGATATGCAATTATAATGAGTTTTTGTTGTGTAACGTCACATTCAGTCTGTTATCAACATGCACACAATCAATGATATGTTTTAATCTTATTTGTTTTCTGTCTTTGGTTTTAGATCCTGACGAAGATTATGGTAAGTAAACTTTTCTGGTGCATACTGCAACAGAAAGGGTTGAATCGTCATCTTAAATATGCCATCATATAAATCACCTCAATTGGGCTCGAACACATCGTCAATACTTTTTAAGGTAAAAAAATAACGTTTTATTTTCGTATAAGCCATGTGTCTGTTTGATTCATTGTAATGGGAGCGGCAGGGGTCCCATTTGAAGACGTCACCCGAAACAGTTCATCCCCTTTTCAGGAGCTTGCACTTGCCTCGGTTAAGGTGTGGAACAGCATTCCCTCTCACACCATACGACGTTACACTAGGTCAATGCGGCTTAATACTTATAAACATGACCCCAACCATCTTTTACGTCCAAAATATCACTGAACCATGACACATTATTTTGATCAGATATATTCCTATAGCAGGTATACACATGAATTATTTAGTACCAAATCTTACATAATTTACCAAGACATGGCGTAGCTGCCACCGTTACAATGCATATGACATGTCTTTATTTTACATTCGTATCACAAACATAACTATAACTGCTTGCAGTTCACGAATCCATAGCCTTGGCATCACTGTCACGCTACAGATGCGTGACTACGTGCTCGGAAAACAGTTCATCAAAATATTTAAGCGTTCCCGGCACTTTAATCGACGCTTATTAAGTATTCTCATTTATTTTTTAATTTGATAATAAAAAAAAAATCTTTATTTTTAAAACAAATGAATCAGATATGATAGCTTTGTTTTGTCTTTAAATTTTGTACGGGAAACTGAGCCTGATGTCAGTTGTTCCTCAGTAGCTGTTTTGGACCTAGCCTAGTAAACAATAACGGGACATTTTTAACTGTAGGGTTAACACCAATCGTCATTTCAAACAAAACAATAATCAATGAATTACATTGATGTTAAACCAAATGACAATTTTGTTTTGTCCAGAGAGCCATGCTAAGTTAATTTTATATCTTTACTGAGTCTACGGGGAAACGTCCAAACGTTTGTTTGATGGCAGTAATAAAGACCAATGAAATATGCTAATACTTTCTTATTTTATGTCGTAACTATTCCATTTATAGACTTAGCGTGAATGCAAAATAAAACATGACATTATCAGCATTAATGTAAACAGATTTTGTTTGGAAAGTATTTCTAGGAAATACTTGATTTTTGCTGTATATATAAGCCTAAAACTGAACAAACGATACTCTTTCATAAAAATGATAAACACAATAAAATGAAATATGTGTTTATCGTATTTTTTTATAAAGACTTTTAATATTTCTCTTTATTTTACCAAAACAGTGTGTCTGTTATGTTGAGATAAAAGTGTAAAATACGAAATATTCCATTTACACAAACTACATGATAGTTCACTTAACACTTTATTATTTGTTTTAGTTTCTTTTTACAAAGTGATTGATGTTATGTCATGTTTGTTTTGATATTTATTGTTTTTTCTGTATAAATATGTCCTGGTGATAAAACAACTTTACAAGATGTGAGTAAATTCCTGAATATGATAATAATAGGAGACCTCATGATGAATACCACACATATCGCATGAAACTCTTCAGAAACACTAAGTGTGTGGTATTCGTTTTTCGTTACTTTGTGTTAACCTTATATCAATATTTAAAGCAGTAAAATACACCTCCATAATTATTAATGTTCTGGTATATATATAAGAAGTAAATTATGTAAGCCACCTGTAAATTTGCATTTAAAAACTAAATTCTAAAGCAGGTATTCTATATATGAATGTTGTTTTCCAGAATGCAGCAATACGAAGACTGACGTTGTATTCCTTCTGGACGCCTCAGGAAGTATCGGATCATCTAATTTCATATTAATGAAATTCTTCATTAAAAACATTACAGCAAATATTCTGTTAGACCCAACCGCCATTCAAGTTAGTGTCGTTACATTTGCCTCAGTTCCTAGATATGAATTTTGGCTCAATGAACATTATGGAGCATTAACGCTGAATCCAGCTATAGATTCAATCGTATACACCAACGCGGGGACATATATAGCAAGTGGTTTGCAGTACGTCAGGGATAATGCACTTGCCGCTCAAAATGGTGCAAGAGCTGACTCAGAAAAGGTAATAATTCTGATGACTGACGGGGTTTCGTCTGATAATTCGGCAACAATCGCCAGCACACTGAGAAATAATGGCGTCCTGGTGGCTTGTGTTGGAATAGGAAACGGAATAAATACGGCTCAGTTAAATGAAATCGCTTACAACTCCTCATACGTATTTGTTGCTGCTGATTTTAACGTGTTGACACAAATTAGAGATACTGTAAGGAGGTCAACATGTGAGACTATCGACAACAACAGTTAAGTTCCTTTCTGAATATTTTGAATTGATCAGGATCATATAACCCGAATGTGATCTGCATATATTTGAGGTCTGGCCTATACAATTTAACTCTCTTCAGGCTTAAACCTGATAGTGGTAAATATGTATGCATCGCGCTATCCAAATAATCATGAAGGAAAACTGTTGTTCTCGGGTAATTTGTATTTAATCTTTAATGTAAAACTTGTATAGGTATGCGTTTTCATAAGGGACGACTAATATGGAAATCCCGGATTTTTGGATTTTCTTTCATGTCCTCTACACGGGTACAGGGAAGTTACCAAATAATTCGGCTGCCCACGTAACAATATTTAGAATCTTATTATTTCCTCTCCTTTTCGGCTACTTTTTTGTTATTGTTTTCTGTCCTTTCACCTCACCTCATTTAGCAATACATGTAGTTTTTATTTAGATATTAAAACATTCAATCGGAGAATAGTTTATCCATGATTTTATGCAAAATATAACCTTGTATATGTAATAAAATGCGAAATGTAGGAAACAGTAATTGAATACCTGAACGTTTATTACAATGTAGATACTCTGACCTCTGTATATGTATTTTGTTTATTATTATTTTATGTGAATTCAAAACGAAATGAAACTATACGGTTGTGAAATCGCACAAAGTTACACGATGTGCGATGTGCACATGATGTGTGAACGATGTGTAAACGATACAATTCTAGAAGATTATTGCTTTCGCAAATTTGTGCGCACGATGGACGAACGTTGTTCGATAACAATCGTGGTTAGTGTAAATTGAGAAATAACTTGTCAACATGAACGGTTTTATGTTTCAACTTATAAACTTGATTTTTTTAAGTATATTTCTATATTCTACTTACATCTGTAAGCTTATCTTTCTATCTATATTTCTAAAAAATTAGAAATACTGTTTTTGGTGTTTTTGAAACTTCCCAAATCGACACATGTAAAATGACAACAAATATTGACACGATTCCAATATACAGGTAAACATGGCCACTTTTTACATATACCTAGACCGTAGTTTTCCTCACCCAGGGCACTCACGTAACAGGCCGATTTTTGAAAATCTAGATGAAGGGGAGCTGTAGACCAAACCGAATGCAGTTAACAAATACTAAATGTCCATTTGTCATAACGATTATACGGTATAACATATCAGCTCTCTGTGTCAGGCACAGACAAGGTAAAGCTCCGGTCACTTATCAAAATGTTATTTACCTTTTCTTTTACCTGGGATCAAAACTTGACAGTCTAACTTTCACTTTAATACCGTCTAAATGTCTAAATCGTATTGTAAAATTGAACACAATCTTTAATCATTTTGATGAGAAATTAATATATACAGTGTACGTTATTTCATTCGATTCTTCCGGATTAGTTTCATTCTGTAATATTGAACAACCAATTGTACCAAATCGCACTGTTGTGTAGAGAGAAGCGCACAACTGTACGAACGATTGTTAAATCGCAGGGTTGTGCGTACGATGTACAGACGATGTGTGCACGATGAATACACGATATGCGCACGCTATTTTTGGTGCGTTGTACGGTTTCACAACTGTATATTACAAAACAGTATACAGTATTGTTTTAAAAAAATAGCCTTCGGTTACAAACTACCCGCGATGACATGCAATTACAACAGCATTTTTCATATAAGGGACTACTGTCGTTTGCTAATAAAGTTTGTTGTTTTATTGATGCAAAGTGACTGTTTGTTGTGATATGTAATTGTTCATGTTTCTATCTGAAAATGTTTCTGAAAAGGGGGCGGATCGCAAAGAACCTTTGATGCGTTCCTTTATCTGCACTGTCGTTATTACTTTTTTGTCCACAAAAAAAATGTATAATATATATATATATACATAACCTTCATTACATTGAGAGATGACGATGTAATAGCACTTCATATCGTGTTGATATTGGGGTGTGACAACGACTTCATTTAAGTACTGATTAATTACTAAATTAATATGCGAAACCTTAGGCTTGTCGTTAACTATTTAATTGAACAGTACGATCGACAAGATGGCCTGATAGGAGGCACGGTAGTCTAGTGGCAGGACGCCGGGCTCATGACCGAAGGGTTGCGGGTTCGAGTCACGGCACTGTGTTGTATCTTTGAACAAGATACTTTACTCCGCTTGTTCCAGACTACCCAGCTGTAAATGAGTACGTGGTTGGGCAGTGCTAGAATTGTTGAATGCTAGCTGTTCGCGCCGAAATGGCAGGTCCGGCTGTTTGCTCCCCAGGGAGTTGAGAAAGATATTGGCTGGTTGCCAATGCCTTATTAACAAGGATGAGAATTTGTGAACCGCTTTGAGACGACCTATGAACTAGGTTGTGATAATGCGGTATATAAGAACCTCGAATTATTATTATTACTATTATTATTATTATAGTAACCGTGAGCAAACTTTAGTTTCATTCGTAAGTGTATAAGTGACAGGTGGCCTGGTAGAAATTGTTAGCAAATATAAATAGTATACGCGTATATACGTAAATGTATAAGTAACCGGTGACCTGATAGTAATTGTACGCAAACCTTAGTAGTATACGTAAATGTATAAGTGACAGGTGACCTGATAGTAATTGTACGCAAACCTTAGTAGTATACCATTTCTATGATAAACTATCGAGATGCCTACTAATGGACAATTTTACATTACACCTTAAAGGCACAGTCCTGATAGGTAAAAAATGAACTGTATTTGTCTACGTAGGGAAACGGTACAGCTCACAAGTAGTGTTATTCTGAAAACCTCACCATGGCGTCATCACTGTATTTAACGACCAAGGTTATCATTTTATTTTTCATACAATTTGATTTGCTCCTCTATGAGGGCGCGGTGTTTTTGGCTTACTATTACAATCGTTTCCAGCAAAAAAGTATGGAAAAAAATGACCCATTCTTACTGTGTAACGGACATATTTCAACCCTCGAAACAAAAGAGCTAAAGCAACCAGTTGTAAACTTTAGGTGTGATTATTCTGTTTACGCAGTATCACACAAGACTGATATCTATTCTTTTATTAAGTGCCGTAAAATTATTTCGGCACATTCGCAAAAACATTAGGATTTTTTTTTTAAACAGTAAACAGCAAATATGATTGTTATACGGTGAAGATAGATGTACTTACGATTTATTTTCCCCGTCCTTACCTGTCGCTTTTATCAGCTTACCGCTATTTGAATTTACTAACAATATATATATATGATTCATAATTTTATGTATCCACGAACCCGGCCCGGTATAACATATTATTATTCTTAACTATTATTAGATTTGTTCTGTCGTGGAATGTGGTTTATGTAACGTTAAACTATCATCGTCCACGGATACGTTTAAAGTTAGCGACATACAAAAAGAGGAATAACAGGGAAATGGAATGAAAGCAAAACAGTACGGAACATCTATTTCCATTTGATCCAGTTATATATAAAGCAAAAATGATCTATTCAGGCCCAGGCTGTTTTTGTACTGATCATTTATTTAGTTTACCAGTAGTTACTGGGGATATTTGGTTCATGTATTTCGTGTAAATTATCTTAGCTTCATGTATACGTAATCTGTAACACTAAATAAAATATAACAATGCATTCACGTGTACTTTTTTATTTTGTTGACATTTTGCAAATATATGACAGTTAATCATTCACCATTGCCCTGTTCCCAACCAACTGTGTCTTGTGTGCACACATTTTGCTTCCAGTGTAAGTAAATAATTGCAATGGTTTCATCACTCTCTTGTGGCAGATTGGTCGAGTGGTAAACACTCAGGGCCTCCAGGCAGGCGGCCAGGTTAGATCCTCGAAGTCGTCGTATGCATGTAATATTCAGAGAAAGTGTATTTCTCCTGCCAACACAACTCCAACAACCCAGGTGGAGTATAAAATGGTCTGGGGTTGATGTTGCAGTATCCGTGTTGTAGTATTTAAGTGAGGTGGCACTATAAAACAGAACACAATACATCTCCAGCACACATTGCATTTATTGTATAAAAATTGCATGTTTATGTACTGTAAACCGCCTTAGACTTGCTTATTCTTGCTAGATAGGGCGCTATATGAAATGTTGTATATTATTATTATTATTGTTTTAATTGCACGAGATCAAATGTTTATACAGTCTAGGTAAAAGTGGTCTGTTTCGTGATACACATTTTGAGAAGCATACATCATTGATGATTAAACGTTTCCGTTTAACAGCATCGAAATTATAAAACAACGAAAACTATCGTTATCAAACATAGCCCTAGGACTATATCATATGAAAGCTTTTTAATCTGAAACTGTTACGGTGTTTCCGTCCTGATGTAGTACATGTACAATCGAGGACCAACCTTGACGTAAAATCGAAACTTTGATAGAAATTCCCGAAACTTTGATAAAAATTCCCGAATGATTACCACTATGTGGTCAAACAACGAGTTCAACATGTATACCGAAACAAAAGAAACAAAAAATGAAAAAAAAAAACGTTTTCCGGAAATTAATGTTTGGAACATGGAAATCATCGAGTATGGTTTGTAACTGGCTTTCATTGACGAATTTCAACAGTACATAAGTTTAAAAGCTCCGAAAAACATTATATATAGGTACATATATGTGATGATAAAACAATAAGGCAAATGAATGAGCATCATCAAAACATTGACCTCCTGCTACACGAAGAAAAAAAGGTCATGATTTGGATCACAAACCTTAACCATAGTTTTCATTAACCTGCATCTTAAAGGTTTGTTAGTCAGCAGCCGAACCTATATAGGAAATAATTACGTTCTCAAAGTTAATATCGAATACATTGCAACATGTAAACCGTATGTTTGATGTTACTCTAGATTACGCAAAATGTCAAGATCGGAAAATGGAATTCGTGCAAAGAGACTTTTTATGTGGAACAACATGGAAGATGTTCATGTGGAAAATAAGCATTGAGATTTCTTTGTGTGGGAACACCACAAAGCCACTACGTGGAGACTTTTTACGCGAGACCATTACAAAGCCACCGTGTGGAGACTTTTTACGCGGGACCAATAAAACCTCTTGTTTGGAGACGTTTTAAGCGGAATCATGACAAAGCCACCAGGTTTAGGCTTTTATGCGAAACACCACATATCCACCAAACTGAGATTTTTTTACGCGGGAAGTAATCATGTGGATGAAAATATAAGAGTCCATCAGGAAAAGAATGATGCCCACTTTAATGCTTCAGTGGGCCTCAACCGTTAAGCACATTTTTTTTCAGAAATAAAGTCCAGGGTTAGATCATCATGTAATGGGGTTTCGTTAATGGATAAATCGGTTCTGCATAGAAAAACGAGGGGTAAAATTAATGAAGGTGCGAAATTTGTTATTTTGTTTAGGTTATTACAGAAAAACAGGAGTTCAGATTTTCTTAATTGGTTGTTTAGGTTGCTTTGGAAGTGTTTGGGGTCAAATTGTAGTAGACAAGATTTCGTATTGTATGTGAATGTTGACACGTCTTTATCTATGATGCTTAGTTTACCGTCAATTGCTATCAGTTCCAGACATGATACCAACTAACGTTATAAATGTGTTCGTCACATTAACAGGATATTTATCGCAGTGACAAAACGTCATCGCTATAGGAGAAATATCCCAGCCTTCCTAACGGGGTGAGTTGTAATTTTTTCCGGGGACAATCAAACATGGCGTATGCGAAGGTAAACACGGTCGAGTCATATTGTATTCCTTTCTGACATCATAAGGCGTCGTGCACCTTTTTAAATTGGCCATACTACAAGTATTATGTGTAAGAGAAACACAGATGTCGGGTTTGAGAAGTAGGCGGTCGTTGTTACCAGCATTCAGAAAACCGTACTACATGGCCAATATCTTTTGGCATAAGTGCGCCGTTGTTGACATACTGGTATTCTCTAGTCGATCTTTCCTCCCCGGAATGACGTATCTAGATCTAGGCATGAAGCTATTGGTTATATAATGTGAAAGGAATGATTTCTTGAAGTGAGATAGCTCAAACTTCAAATAGTGAAGGGGTTGTTGGATGAGCAATTTCTAGTACACTAAGTATACAGTAAAATATATGAGGAACCATATAACTTTTTCATTATGAGGAGAATCAGATGCTAATACTTCAGGTTACGCTTGTTACTTCACTGCAAAATTCATAGATTTACTGCGGTATTAAATTTATATCATATTTTAGTCATTTAGACAAACGTTACTGCTCCTAATGTTTCAAAATGTACACACTTCACTCATGATGTAATTTCAAATTATCAAGTACCCTAATTTTTTAAACTTCTTTAGAGACTTTTCGCACTTACCTTCTGTTTCGACAGTAGTTAAGACCAGTTTCGAATATTAACTAACATCATCGAGGAGTCTTGAATAGCTGTATGGTGTTGTGTCTTTCATTTTTGCCATACTGTGTCTATTACAAATTTATAAAGATGGAATCCCATGTTTATGTTGTGTTTATCTTTCTAGTTACATGGTGGTAGACTTTGCTGTTGGGTTTTTAAGTCTCCGAGGTTTGTTGCAAATTTGATAGCTCCAGTGATCACGAGTAGTGTTATGGTTCAGGATATAACTTATGATTTTATAAAACATAACATAAACAATATTCATATATTTAAGTACAATTAAAACACAACGTATTATTAGTTAAATCTTTAATTCTCATTGTTACATAATTTAATCATATTATAACACACGAACGGACTTAACATGTAACAGTGACATGAGTTTTATAGAATGTTCCTGCTGAGAAATAAAGTAAATTTTATCATGTATACAAAGCAATACCAGACACTTATTAAATAAATGATGTCAGGAAATGGCTAACATATACAGTATATATTTCTGGCAAATCGAAAGAAAGCTTACATCAGTCTTCTCCAGAATCAGGGTTGCCACCTCTAAAATTTGGGAGGGATGGTTACACATTGAAATCCTTGTATTTTTCACCAGACTCAATCCTCCATCGGAATGAGACAAGAATTTTTCATATTTTCCTTGACAATTCTTTTTTCACACTTCCCTAAATCCTTCCTGAATATCATGGATACCTTTAGCTCTGAAAGCGTTTCTCTTGCGACTTCCATTGAAGGGTCCAGTTTATAGAGGAAGACAACAGTGATTTATCTTTCTATTTTTCCAACTTCTAGACTATTGTGTGTACGAACGACGAAAATCAATAGCAACATTTAGCAACAAACAAATGTCTTCAACAAAGTCTGGTTAAAATAAAAACATAAAAAATAGGGGCGCAACAGTAAGTAATTCATCCCATATGCGGAATAAACTTTATTTATGTTTAAATTAAGTTCATTGATTAGAATCGGCTACCTCAGCAAAATGTTTCGAAATCCCAGTTCTAAATATTCATAAATACTTATATGCATGTAATTTTTCACACAAAAACGCTTCATCAAAATGATGTTACATAACACCTTAAATGTGAAACATGGCACCTAAATATTTGTGAAATAATGCCTAAACCTGTTTCACCGCACTCAATTTAATATTTCTGCATGACAATATCATCGATAAACGAGTAATAAAAATTGTGTCCACAATCAAATAGTTATAAATATGCCTTCAAACGTTTTGAAATAACGTTTTATTTGTCAAAATGACCATTACTTACACTACTCAAAAGTATTGCTTTAAATCTCGTTCACCTTTTCTTTTTGTCAATAACTTGTTTACTTTTTATTCAGAAATAAGTATACTCTTTATATTTGTATTTTTCATGATGTCTCATCTAGCTACACGATGAAGCAAAATTCATAATTTTATGCGATTAACAGGTTAAGATATTCATTTGTTGTGCTATATAATCTTACGTACAGTCTTTGAAATATGTATGCCATAAGATAATAATTTGAAGATCAACTCTAATGGATGGTCGGGTTGTGCATTGGATAGCGCATTCGCCTTTCACCAAGACGGCCTGGGTTCGATTCCCAAACCGACGTTGAAAAGGCCATGCGGGTTTTCTTTTGACACTCCAGTTTCTCCCACATTGAGACCCCTGCGTGGTACAATCCGAGGCAACGAGAGCGATTAATTTAATTTGAAAGAAGGTGTTTCGAAATTGTTGTGAAATAACTTAAGTTTGATTTTAATAAAAACAGACATAAACTCAAAAGATTGAGTGTATTCTTATATACAGTTTTGTAATATAATAGTTAAGCTTATTTTGTGCAGTTCTGACTTACACTGTTTGTTGCCTATCTATACATTCACAGAAACCGTGAAGCAAGTACCCAATGCCACGTAATGTCACGCCCTTGCCTCGAGCCATTCCTTACATGTACGAATTGGAAAATATAGAATAATCACATTCTACAGTAGTAAAACACATTTTCTCATCTCTAAGACAGACCCATCTTGCCGATCGTAGCCACGTCCATATTACACCTCTCCATGGCTAGCAGTATCCTTCGGATCGTCGCAGGTGGTTCTTTACAACCTCTTACCCAGCGCTTCAACAGCTTCGCCATTTTGTCCTTCACCTTGTCGTATTCCACGTCAACCTGGTCAATTTCGGGGACTTTGAGCCCAAGTTCAAGACATAAGTTGAAATACGACTTGTTCACATTTTCTGAGATGATTCGGATCTCGTCATCAGTTGGTTTCCTGTTTAATGTCTTTTCTTGCAATTCGACACCTAGCAGTGAAAACGAAACATGTATTTTATGTATATATGCATACTTATATATTTGTACTTTGTAAGTCTCACGTGCATGCAAATACATAAATATCTTCTTGCCAAATGCAGTTAAGAAGCCTGATTTTCAATCTTTCCATTCATCATAAAATACTCAGATCTAAAAAATTGAAGCTTCACTGAAAATTAATTCAGAATACTAAATATAATGTGCAGCCGCTATATTTGAGCTTTTAATAACTGTTAAAAAAATAAACCGATGGTACAGGCACTGAACTCTGACCTTTCACTGTGCGATGAATGTCCGATCTCCTCTCTATGGTCTTGAGAATGTGGTCTTGGTCCACGCCAAACTTGGACACAGCGGAGGCTATATGTGCGTATGTTTGCTCACGGAACTGTGTCGACCAACGCAGAAACATCTTTGTGATTTGTGAACGGAAAGAGAGCTGTGAACACTCCGACTGGATCTGCTCTATCGCATGGCTTTCCATTCCGAGTTCTGCAAACATCAGGGTATACCAGCTGCCTACGTGCTCCGATAACCTACCGAATTCACGAGCTGTCGGCATACGGTGTGGTATTCCGAAATGGTCAGGATCTTCTGAAAACACATATAGAACACGGGCTGTAATAATTGTTAGTAAGTAAATTGAAAAACAAAAGAAAAACAAACAAAAAAATGTACCATTACGCGGACAGATTATGAAAAAATGCAATCGCAAAATTGTAAAGAAAACAGAATTAAAAAAAAAATCCACAAAAAAACTAAACAATAGGTTCGAGGTAAAATAATTGTTTAAGTTTCAAAATGTTTACCGAATCAATCAGAAATATTACTGTACTGCACTGATAAAAGCTTTCAGAAAATGTCACTTGTTCTGCAGATGAGCAAGATAGGATAACAGATTTAATATTTAAATTTACCAGAATGCTCCGTTGGAACGTATTTTTTTGACCTGGTACGAAGTAGGTTGCGAAAGAATTTTCTCCAATTTCGAATTCGGTTCCAAGCCTTCTGTCGAGTCCCTTTAAAACAATACACCAGTTTTAAATTTTGAAATATGTATCTTCATCTAAAGATGGTCATTATCGTAACTAAATACTTTTTTACACTAAATTGCACATATATTTACATTTTAACAATTTGCCTTTAAAGAACTCGCAGTTTATTCTTAGCAATATGAATACAATGGGATTTCAATTACAATGATTTTCACGCACACTTTTAATTTTGGCATCATAAACGAAATGTTGAAAACTGCTGCTTTGAGACAAAAACATTTTTTATGGAAAGGACAGGTACAACATTTCATGTTATTGGCCAAATATGGAGATAATATCGCATACGTTATGTTTTCATAAAGTCATGTAAACGTCGAAGCCACATTATATTATGATCGACAGGTTAGTTTTATTTGATATAAGAAATTCAAGGAGGAATATTTCTTTTCGGATAAATTAATAATAATTGAGACATATCTTCGATGGTCCAATGGAAAAGACCAAAATCTTTCAAAGATGGCAGCACAAGTTCACCAAGTCGTGGAACTCATGATGATAATAATCTTCAAATCCAGGTTTCAGATAAATATTTAATACCCAGGTTAAGTATTGCAAAAGATATTCTTATCAAGTTAGCTATCTGGCCGAATATTTAATAGGAAAGCAGAAGTTTAATTTCAACTAGTTATAATTGACAAATACCATATAAAGAATACGGTAATTGATTAGAACTGAATACCTGCTGGTGGAATAGAGGGCACTGTCCCTTGTCCAGGTATGTAGTTCTCCTAGAATGTATTAATAAAGTACCAACATTATGATAAAAAATATACAATGAAAATATCACTGATCATCGCGAATTATTGACATCATTTACCCCATATTCAAAGTTCATACATTTGGACTTCACTTATTATAATGTATTTATTTATCAAATAAGACTTACCCGTGGTTGAGCATGCCTTGTATCTGTGATCCACACAGACAGATGGCGCCTTCCCAGTTGATGTTTTTGTCGACACGTCTCTCCCCTGCATAGGTGGTGTGATCTAGTCATAATCACCTCGTCCACCGGTAAAGGGTCGTCTCGGGGACCGAGTCTGTAGCTACAGTGAAGATGATCCCGGTATGTCATGTGTTCATGGCAGTTTGTCTTAAGTACAGTGTCAATTATTATTTTGATCTCCTTAAGCAGTCGACGACCAGTATTCAAGTAAATGCTTCTCTCTGTCATGCTGTACAAAGTCAGTGTAATGGCCGACCTATTCCACTGTAGGGAGACTATGAGATTCCATACGCCCTCTATCTGGAAGCAGCCGAATCCTTGAAGCAAGGTACTGGATTCAGCGGAACCTGTCGAGTTTCGTGTCAGCGCGTACTTCTGCAGACATCCTGCTAGAATTCTATCAAAGAGATCTCGGGGGATGAAAACCTCATTGAACATGATGCAAAGGGTTTTGGTTACAAATCTTGCATTTCGCAACTCCTCATCAATCTGGGCTGTGTTTGATGGATCTTTAAGCTTGCTGGGTACAAAATAGTGATTTGCAAATATGACCTTTCCGCGGCAGTCGAATCCGTCGATTGGTCGGACAAGGAGACCGAATTTCTCCATGAATACCAAGAGGATTGGCATGTGTTCACGGAATCCCTTTGACTCGTCACTTGCCAAGAGCTCCTCGATTAGTGAAAGCGTCAGCTTGGCGAACGACTGGAAGTTCACCAAGTGTCTTCGCAGCGTTAAGTCCCTTTCAATGAACAATTTGTCTGTGATGAGCCGCCGGAAAGCATCGGCCAGCCATTGCGGGTCAATCACTGCCTGGTTGTGACCTCGGAAGAAGACGATTGTCCGATTTCGGTGAAGGTATCTTAAGGTGCGATGATAAATTATGATACATATATATATAATTATCGTAAATTTTATCTGCTGACATCAAAATGAAAACTACAGTACCATTACGTGGTATTCTGTTAGCATATGGCGTTATATCTTAATCTTGCAGCAGCCGTGATCATAAAACCAGTTTTTTTTACTCAACATGAAAAATTCCTGCCATATTCGTTTGAAAAGAATGAGAGGAATATATCGCACACACAGTTAACAATATTCTTTGTTTACACAGGTATCTTGAATAAAACATCACAGGTAGATTACCTCTGATACGTATAAGAGTCTCTGAATAGTAAACATCCAAAAAGACTGCTGAGTACAAAAATGGCAATCGTTTGGAAATGTTATGTGTAACATACCCCTAATTTTTTAATGAATTTTATGACTTCATTAATGAGGAAGGGGACGTGTGTATATATCATATAAAACAAGTAAATAATTTCCAACGGCTAACATACCGACAACGTTTTGCTTAAGCTTTCATCATTTCACCCTCTGTTATGTGGGTCAATTTATCAGTAAAGCAAACGTTAGTAAACAACATAATAAAATAGTACTGAAGTTTGAAGGGCAAAATTAACAGCTGTTGAATATAAACTTACTCTAGGAACAGCATGATGTCTTCTTTGTTCTTAATAGGAAATTCACACTTGGCATCTATTTCATAAATCTCATCCAGCGTCAGTATCTTTCTTCCTAGAGTTCGCTGTTTGAGCAGATCCCGTTCTAGCACTAGCCAATTCACAGGGAGTTCCCTCTCCCATTGGTCTTGATGTTTGGCAGCTTCCAGAATCAGGTTCCGGATATCATCATAAGAAGATGCGTTTTCGTTCGTATTGTCGACTGTACAAAAACGGACAAAATCTGCAGAACCGTCGCTGTCCACACTTGCTTCCACTTCTTTTGTTTGGCAAAGTTCTTCCTTTATAGCTTCCAGCTGTTTTTTGCGATTGTTTTTCGCCTGTTGTTTGGAATTTGATATACGTATATATGCGTATTATAGTCAACTACACATGATGAGTTTTGCAAACGTTTTAATTTTAATATTGTGATTTAGATAAATATAGTCCATAAAAAAATAAAAAGGCTGATCAATAATAATCTACTGTGTATATGTGAATATTTTTATCAACTCTTTCTTCTTTTATTCGACATAAAGACACATGCTTCTCTCCACAGTTTCATTTATCGTATTATGTAAAACAAAGTCGCTTTCATTTCATCTGACTTTTAAAAAAGGTTTTGATGCTTGTTTCATCAAAACTTAATCATAAAAACAAAGCGTTGCTTGAAACCCCCATACATAATTATCAATAAGTTTAAGCGTGCGCTCCCTTGTCAGATATATACTTTTAGCACCATAACCATCAACTCGAACAAAAAACTGATATAGTGTGTAAAGATTGTTGTGACAAAAAACAACACCAGGTGTAGTAAAAGTGATAAACAATAAAATGTTAAGATCAAATTACTTCTATTGGTTCAGCATGTTAAACCTGAAGGGTTAAGATAAGAGTCCTATGATCAAGCACACTAATTCTTCTCAAAGAGATGGAATATCATAAAGGGATATCAGTAACAAGTTTGTGCTGCCTTTTACCATATTTGATGTTTATAATTCACATTTTTTAAGACAAGTAGATATTTGTATTGTCTTAAATTTTGAAGATAAGTTCCAATTTGTTCAAAAGGTGATCAAATTTATCAATATTTAACGACGTTTTTCAGTCTCTAATAACTAGTTCATAATACGAGGTGAAACATGTAACGCTACAAAAATATGTACTATCTGGAAAGTTTAAACTCAATTAATGGTAGTATTTTAAAGATACATAAAAATAATTAATTGCGTCAGTCACTCATTAAGTTTATCATCTTTTGAACAACTGTGCCATGTTATCTGTCTTATCAAATGTATATTCTAAAGAATATTACCGGTATGTGCTTGTTGACGAGGTCCATTTTTGTGCCGACAATTATGATAGGAGGCTTGTGGCTTGGCTGGGATTTATCGTAAGAACTACGGTATGTACCAATGGTCCGTATCCATTCTGTGATGCGCCCTGTAACATGAATAAACCAACTTGACAGATGTTGTGAGACTTTTCCTTAAAAATAGTTCATATTTATAATCGATACTTAAAAAGTTATTGTTCATTTTATATTCAATACTTTTTTAGCAATGTTTAAGAAAAAACAGAACCTACAACGAATCGTTTATACACATGGACAAATGCAACTGAATTGAACAAACGAACTGAAAGTTAATAGCAAATAAAACCACAGAATCCTTGGACATTTTGATACAATCAGAAAAATCAACTTACACAATAAATGTATTGATGGTTTAGACTTAAATAAAAATCCTAGTAATAAGAGTTGAATAACGTCATAAACAATCTATTAAGACCTACTTAATTACTCAACCGTAAATCCTTGACCGGTAAACGCCAAACAATAACAAGTTTTAAGGTCGGGCTCAGCTACACTGATTACATGTATTGTGTATACAAAAATACCATTGTAATAGAACAAATTCAGAACTCTAAGCCAAATACAAAACAAAATATTTGAACCAGAACAAAAGGAAAGGCTTGATGAAAGAGCCGTAACCAGGGACTTAATTTAATTAAATCTAATTTAATTTACAACGAATTTAAGTGTTTCCTGTACTACAAACAATATTCTAATTTATTCGAGATGTAACAAGGTATTTGATTGGACAATCAAAAATAATTTGCGATAGAAAAACCACGATAAACCGTTCGCAAATTTCTCATTTACATATGAAGCCCTAATGGCGATTGATAATGCCGTCGATGACCCCGACTGACCCTGACATGTCATGAAATTGATTATTATTTATGTCACGAACAATAGCGTGACTCCGAAAGGGCAACGTAATTCCCCCTTACTTTGAATATTTCTGACGTTACCAATCCACAGCAAAGAGAACCAGAATTTAAAGAAAACACTCAAAAATATTTTAAAATCGTCGTTTCTTTCGGTGTTTCGGTTGATATGAATTAGAATGGGGATAACCCTACTGTATTTTGAACCCGCGGAGCCAGTATATCGGATATTTGCGACAGCATAATCACGATATATCGCCGCAAATATCAAAATACAGTAGGGTTATCCCCTAAGTGGTATACGCTATACTGTCATCTTTGGGAGGCAAATCAGTTATCAACTCTCTAACAATTGTCAAAAGCATGACAGACACGAAACCATAGGTAGATACAAGCGTGAATCTGCCATAATGATGATATGATAAAGAAGTCAATAATACCCAATAGTACTCTCTAACCTATGTAACCAAGCCGTCACGTTCCTCCTGATTACTGTTACTTGTGTTGATGTTTTTAATATACTATTTTCTTCATTTCTCTACACTTTAGAATGGTATTAATAGAAGGGTCAATGTTAACGCACTTGGTCATAATTTAAAAGTACACCCTCTGACTACCAGAATAGGGAAATGTCAGAATATATAAATTCTCACCACTTTCGTCACGTTCAGTCAGATACTCCAGTGTATCAAAGGCGAGGATAAAGACACAGTGAGAGCTCATAAACACCCCGTGGTTGGCCTGGAAAGATGTCTGTCCTCCCATGTCCCACATAGACAGAAACGCAACATTGTCTCCCTTTTGCAGTTCAGATGTTTGCCGAACGACGTCGACAAATCGTAATTGTCTCTCTTCTAACTTGCGGACATCAGGTAGAGACGTCATGTGTGGCTTACTGGCACCTGTGAATAGTATCCCTCCTAACGCTGGCTCTCTGCCTGGAATTCCTGCTGACATAGGAACGTTCGCGTCGCCAGGAGTCTCTTCTATTTCTGATAAGTAAACAATGTGTACATCAGGGAACTATTCATTTTAATTGTTTATTTGATAAGAATAAGGACAATTACATAAATAGAGGTAGAAGCAAGTGTCTTTGACCTGTATGTTACCTAAAAATGTAATATACAGTTACAAAACAACAAAGCTTAGTTATCAAATTAAAAGAAAATTTCTGCATCGTTTTACCTGATTCATTTAAAGGTACAAGTGACAATTTCAGTTCGCTCGGTAATGCCAAGGAACGTCGTTTTTTCGCGTCCCTCATTAGGCGCCCCATGCGGTCAGCCATGATGCCATCGGAGCTAGCGTCATCAATTCGTGACCAAGTGTACGTGTCAAGATCAATTTCAAAAACCTGAAGATAAAGGGAAGCCCCTTCAGTGGGTTCCCTTATTGCGATATCCACTGGTTTCCCTTGTAGACGTAAACAAAGGGTAGTTTTTCCTACTCCCTCTTTTCCGACAAACATTACTCTGATGTGCCGATACTTTTCTTTCTGACCAATGAACATCTCCAGATAGGAATTAATCTTTGCAGACGGTAAATCCTCTGAAAGTATATTTGTATTATCGTACATCAAAAAGGGTACCGAATAGTGACACCTTTAGAGTTCTTCTCAGATTACATATGTCGACATTTAAGGAATTGTTTACCACATCACATTAAAAACTATTTAACGGCATGGTATTTTATTGGTCAAATTGCGATAACTATATATATATCGATATAAATGTAATGCACCCTATCTTAAAGGTAATACGTCATGCTTCATTCTCCCATTTAAAAGTAAATGTGGATTTCGCATTTGATTAGTTTGGTTGAAGCGGTGTGAAAATATGTGCGCCTTACCTTTATTACACACCGTTCCTAATTGACTTGTCATTTTGCAAATTGTTGAACACGTCTCTTACTTAGTATACGATTAAAAGTTTATCTTAATATACATCGCATACAGTGTATAGAATTTAAATGCTTTGTCTGTGGTGATATTGCAAACTGTTTCCGATTTAGTAAACTAATCATTTTTATAACAATGAAGTTTGTAATCGTAGGTATGTATTAAAAATGGTAAAACACGAATGACGTTGATTATTACTAATATATCACCACGCAAATTAGTTGATTATGGCAAATTATTGCTACTTTTAGCTTACCAAACTTTTCTGCAGGAACGGTCTTTGTTCTGGTTGAGGTTTTCTAGTAAATAGAGATCAAACAATTAATAGATACAGAAGAAAAAACAATACAGCGAAGGCCCGCGATAAAAAAAAGATGCACTGGTCTAATTTTTCCTTGTACAGCGTCAACACATGCTGGTAGGAGAACAAAATTAATATACTCTAGTATAGTTTTTGTTTAGTATAGCGCCAGCACACGAAGGCCCGAGATCAAATATACACCGGTCTTATTTCTTCTCAGTACAGCGTCAACACACGAAGGCCCGAGATTAAGTATACACCGGTCTAATTTCTTCTCAGTACAGGGTCAACACACGAAAGCAAGAGATCAAATATACTCCAGTATAATTTCTTCTCAGTACAGCGCCAGCACACGAAGGCCCGATATCAAATATACTCTAATATATTTTCTTCTCAGTACAGCGCCAGCACACGATGGCAAAAGATCAAGTATACTCCAGTCTACTTTTTCCTCGTACAGCGTCAACACACGAAGGCCCGATATCAAATATACTCTAATATATTTTCTTCTCAGTACAGCGCCAGCACGCGATGGCAGAAGCTCAAATATACTCTAGTCTACTTTTTCCTTGTTCAGCGACACCACACGAAGGCCAAAGATTAAAATATATACTGGTCGTATACATGTTCTAAGTACAGCATCAGCACATGAAGGCCCGAGATCAAATATACTCTAGTACAATTACTTCTTAGTACAGCGCCAGCACACGAAGACACGAGTTCAAATATGAACTGGACCTATATGTTCTTAGTACAGCGCCGGCACACGAAAATACGAGATCAAATATACTCTAGTATAATTTCTTCTCAGTACCGCGCCAACACACGAAGGAACGAGATCAAATATACTCTAGTTTAATTTCTCTCAGTACAACGTCAACACAAGATGGCACAAGATCAAATATACTCTAGTCTAATTTTTCATTAAACAGTGTAAACACATGAAAGCCCGAGATCAAATATAAACTACTCTAATTTCTTCTTAGTACAGTGCCAGCACACGAAGGCCCGAGATTAAAATATATACTGGTCTTATATGTTCTTAGTACACCGTCAACACACGAAAGCCCGAGATCAAATATACTATAGTATAATTTCTTCTTAGCACAGTGTCAACACACGAAGGCACAAGATTAAAATATGTACTGGTCTAATATGTTCTTTGTACACCGTAAACGCACGAAAACCCGAGATCAAATATAATAAAGTATAATTTCTTCTTAGTACAGTGTCAACACACGAAGGCACAAGATTAAAATATACACTTGGCTTATATGTTCATAGTACAGTGTCAACACACGAAGGCCTGAGATCAAATATACTCTAGTCAATAACTTCTTAGTACAGCGCCGGCACACGAAGACACCGAGTTCAAATATAAACTAGTCCTATATGTTCTTAGTACAGCGCCAGCACACGAAGGTACGAGATCAAATAAACACTACTTTATTTTTTTCTTAGCATAGCGTCAACACATGAAGGCCCGAGATCAAATATCCTCTAGTATAATTTCTTCTTAGTACCGCGCCAACACACAAAGGAACGAGATAAAATATGCTCTAGTATAATTTCTTTTTATGACAGCGCCAACACATGAAGGTACGACATCAGATATAAACTACTCTAATAACTTCTTAGTACAGCGTCAACACACGAAGGCACGAGATCAAATATCCTCTAGTATACTTTCTTCTCAGTACAGCGCCAGCACATGATGGCACAAGATCAAATATACTCTAGTCTAATGTTTCCTTGTAGAGCGTCAACACACGAAGGCCTGAGATCAAATATAATATAGTATAATTTCTTCTCAGTACCGCGCCAACACACGAAGGCACGAGATCAAATAAACACTAGTCTAATTTCTTCTTTGTACGGCGCAAATACTCGAAGAAACGAGATAAAAAATACACTACTCTAATTTTTCTTCATAGTTTCATATATGATCATAGAACTGGCAAAGCACCACACAGTCGTTACTCCAAGGAAAGACAATAAGAGGACTTATGCTATTTCAAAGCAAAGCGAAATCACGATGAACGTTCATACAGATAGTATTCATATCTAATACAGATGATCATCTCATTGTTTTATTACCTGCGGTTGTGGCGGTGATAGTAGCTGTTGTTTCAGAAATTTCATCACCCCATCATTAGTCATACGGCGTATATTCTCAGGCAAACCTACGTAAAGATATATAGAACTTTTATGTCCGATTTGACGTAATGCCGGAGGCACATGATTTTCATAAATACGAAATTTCACGATATCTACTTAAAGTGTAAATGGAAAATATTTATAATTAGCCTTGTGGAAGAAAGACAACACTACGTTTTCTACTGTTAAATGTTTTGTAATTGATATGAGAGATTTTTCCGTTTGACTATCCTAACTAATATATATTGCATATTGTAAAATTGAATACTAATTGGTTTCATGTGTTCATATATATTTCTGTTCCGATGTATATCAAAATATAAATAAATCGGTATAAAATTGCTTCATATACCTTGCGTATGGGATCTACGCCATAGTAAGTATTCCTCCACATCAGTGTAGTAGTACTGCCTGGCTAGGTCAAGCAATGTGGTACGTTGACAATAATCTTCCACATCAATGCCAGTAGTTCGAAGCAGCAAGTCGAGCATCCTTAGACGTCCTTCTGTATGGAGAGTTCTGCAGCAACGGTGAGCAGCGTTATAGCCACCATTGTCCAATCGCCTACCAAGATGAAGCACTTGAGGGTACCGCGCGACAAGGTGCTCTAGTAAGGAAAAGTGGCAATTCACACTTACAACGTGGACCACGGACTGGCCGTGGTAGTTTGTGCTCGCTATATTCTCCCCGGATTTAATAGCCGCGTCGAACAAGTCTATGTTTCCTTGCATCGCAGCCCTGAACAGCTCACTGGTAGCTGTCCTTCGTGAAAGACTCATGTTTACTACCGTTCAATGCAGCTGGCCTCACAAAATCAATTTTGACATTGATATGAATAATACTTAATATCATCCATGTTAACAGCTTTCGGCAGTAATAGAGTTCACCTTGAGATGTACTGAAAACGAAGAGACAAAAATGCTTAACCGCTCCTTAATCGGGATATAAATACCAGAAACGTTAATATGAGAAAAGTCAATAATTAAAGATCAACTCTAAACTTAATTATACTTTTTCTCCTGTTCTTTTGCAATATCTCAATATCTCAAAAAATCAAAGTGATGTCACATTCTCGAATTGGGAACATACACTTTACGATATGAACATTAGACGTGCAGGTTCATGAAATTATGCGCGGACAACTTGTACTCTCACTATCGTTATTTCATTTGGAAATATTCTGTTTCTTTTTTGTTTGACATGAAAGTCGATCCTTTTGATAATGCACAAAAGTGTGTCATGTTTCGTTGTCACTAACCTTTCAGAAAGTGTTACCATTTTCTTTGTGTATATTTGCCCTAGTGTTATCGATTGTGATACTGAATGGCGGCTTTGTTGACCATTTGGTATTACTCCACTGACATCAAAACACAGAAATCAATGACACAAAAAGTACCATAACGTCATTACACTTGGAAAAGGATGTGTCTATGACTTCAACATACATAGAAATAGAAAATAAAATACCATGTGTTCAACAGATAGAAGTACGTTAGTTAGAAACTCAGATATAATATACATGTTCACTTGGCAAGCCTTGTTTCTGACTCCAAGTTATACACGCTTCATAAAGATTATCATACCCCCACAACTATATGTTTGTATTCATTGTGCCCATAGGTTTTACAGTGTTCTAGACATTACATAGGTAACAATAGTCTACGGGACAAATTTTACCTTGCTCTTTTGTACTGTTATCGAGACAATACATTTCTACAATACCCGCTATAGCATTTAAAGATTAATCTGGAGTAGTCTTTCAACCAGGTGTGTGAAGACAAATGAGAGACAACATAAGCTACGCACCACTTATCGCAGGTAAATAAATCGTCCTGTCCGCTGGAAATTACCTCATATCAGCGCATACATTGTTTCAAAGTGCATTTGCGAATCAATTCATTCATATGTTAATGAAACCTCCGATATGGAGAGGTAGAACATTCTGGTACCTTAAATATAGGTGAACAGTTATATCACAGACGTAAAACGGTGGTTTGTACGACCTTTTGTTATCGGAGGATACAGGTACATGTATATCTGTATAAGATATTGCGCAATTCATCTTACCTGGCGCTTAATGCGTAGTGTAAACAAATGTTTAGATGAATGAGTATCCATAACCAAATGACTAAAATTGTATCTACACAAAACAATAACACAGTTGAAGCTTTGAATAAAACCATACTGAATACGTACATGTAGGTGGTAAAAAAATAAGGTTATTCGCTAAGGATCTGAACTTTGTCATCAGACAAAATATATTTCCAGTTGAAGTTTTCGCAGAGGTATAAGAACTAGCGTGTAAAAATCTGAGATACATGGAGCCTGGGTAACAACTAATGAAGAAGGTGTAACATTTCCAATATTGGAAAAATGTATTTTGAATGATTTTCCTGCCAAAGGCGAAAGACGAATGCTACAGAAAGGCCGTGATCATGCTAAAGGACTTCTACGACTTATTAATCGTTCCAAACAGATCTTACTCAAAGCTTAAACTTAAGCTCGATATTGTAATTCTGTCGCAACTAAATAAAGATAGTAAGATACCTGTCATTTAATCCTATTACAAATACCTGTATCTTCAACAACAAAATCATAAAAATAAACATAAATATCCCCATAATGTAATGAATCCCTATAAACCATACACAAGTTAACACTTCGAGGCCTATTGTCGATTGTACTTATTTCATTGTGTACAATGTGTCCTCGACTCTAGAAAATAATCTTTGAATAGTGGGTGAAACTGACACCATGTCAAGAATTAGAAGAATATGGCGAAACGTAAATTCAACGTCATCATTCAAAAATATGTGGAATAAATATCTATTTTATTTATTTTGCAACAATCATGAAACAAGTTACCAAATAATGTTAATCACACCTGTTCGCCCGGATGTTATGTAAGTGCACGGGGTCTTGATGTGGGAGGATACCTGAGTACCCGGAGAAAGCCCATGTTGTCCTGCAGGTGACCCCACAACTTTTCACATCCGATCGGGAAATCGAACCCCGGTCGTCTTGATGAGAGGCGAGTGCGCTATCCACCGCGCCACCTTAATGCATTTGACGTTATTTTGTTGTTTCTCTCTGATGTATTAGTCATCGCTCAGAATTAGACAAATCCATGATATTATGGATTTCCTAGGATTTATACTGACATCAATATATTTTAGCTTCCGTGAGGTCACCTATCAACAATACTTCAGAAGAAATATGATCAGCTAAATTATCTGAAGCGAAACGCAATACCCACTATCCAAAAATAGTGCAAGTGGAAACGATATATTCACTACATGCTAGAACTTATCAAGCAATTTTTAGAGAGACATTTCGATTTCAAACCATAGATCCCGTCAACATCTTCAAATTCGCATGGTAAAGAAAAGTCAAGTTTATTTCGTGTTGCATATACCCATCCTATCGACAGAGTCGTGAAGGCATTGGTCTATAATAAAACACTGACCAATATTTTGACTTTGATTCTTTTAAATCCCCTTTCGACCGGCAATTTTGTTTGTTACGTGCGTTGTTCAACAGCTGAGTGTTGTCAAAACAAAGAACAAAGAACAAAAGAAAACACATTTCCATTGAGCGATGAAAACATGTGTTTAACATTTGCTTAAACAGGATGAACAATTTACTACATCCCAGCCACCATAACCAATCCAACGTCATCCAAACCCAACATTGCACTCGATTTAAATAGAAACCTATCCCCTAATACACCAACTTGACAGTAATTTGTATGATAACCATAACAGATGCGTATTGATTAATGACTTAGATTGTAGATTTTTTCGTTTATCCTACTTATCAATCTTTCTGAAAGAGAACCCTGTCATTCTTATACATTTTTGTTATATCAAGTTGATGATAGTTTTAAATTAAGAAATATATCCGTTACATTACCTTCCAATCTTTTGGCTTTAGCTCCATAGCTGGGTGATGTGAAGCCTCTGTCGCTCGATAGACATGACTGCTTACCTCACAACCCGCTTAACAAATCACAATGATTACATCACTTTAACATCTTGTTATTCCACGAAATGTTCTGTTAGAGCCTATAACTGACGTTACTATCATTCATGTACAATCCTCATCGTGTAGTGCTTGTACAGACAGACTTTAAAGTCCAGGTGTTTCGAGCACCGACCAAAGATTTCAAAGGGTATTTTGTGGGTATATACGTGTATAAACCATTGTGAAATATGACAATAGTATTGTTTATGATGTGTCTACAGTTAGAATTATTTAGTACCTATTCATAAATACAAAGAAATGTCAACCCTCATTAGCTATGTTTTAAATCATTGTGTCATTGTTTTATATACAGGAAATTTAGAAATTATCTGACATATCTTAATTCTGAAATATGTTTTGTGTCTAATACAAAAATGTGATTATGTCAACCGCCGGATATGCATAACATTTTTAAAATTATAACAATATATTACATTCGAACTTAACATTAATGAACCATTAAGAGTTTTATACAATCCTCAATTGTTCAACACCTTGATCGCCTTACTTCGTTTAACAAAACGTTTGAATGTAATTTCTCCAAATCTCTTGAAAGAAAACCTTACACGTATAGATATATCTAGTTTGAAAATAATTATCTAAGAATATTTTAGTATTACAACATGAAATAGCTCATAATAATGGCAAAGTATCAGAATAAGCAAAGGAGAAATAACTACCTTGTAATCATATTAGTTATAATACCAATATCAATATGATATTATTTAATATACATTTCTAAATTATATTTATCTCTCAAAAATAACAATTTGTAATATTCAGTTTATGGAACCTCAGATTGAACAAGACCGTGACCATTGAACTTTAAATACAATATTAACGTAAAACAGGACTGTAAGTGATGGTACTGGCTCTGAATTTCTCTCTAAAAGCAGTTTACAAACACATAAACAAAACAAAACACTTGTTGATTCATCAAATCTGCTAAAACTTTGGACATATACATATATTTACAACGCTATTATAATAAAAACAATCTTATTAAAAAAATGTTTATGAATTAGCATCTCCGTTCGATCAGAATGTGTAAAATACTTATATTTCTCCATCGTTAAGTCTGATATGTCTTCGTTATTATAGAACTGGTAACAACGATATTTGTCCAATGCTAATTCTGATGTCTGTCCAGTGATAATACTGATATTTGTATATTGGTTATTAATATTTGTCCATTAATATTGCTGATATTTGTCCATTTATTATACTGATTTTTGTCTATTGATAATACTGATATTTGTCTATTGATAATACTGATATTTGTCCATTGATAATACTGATATTTGTCCATTGATACTACTGATATTTGTCCATTGATAATATTGATATTTGTCTATTGATACTACTGATATTTGTCCATTGATAATACTGATATTTGTCCATTGATACTACTGATATTTGTCTTTTGATACTACTGATATTTATCTATTGATAATACTGATATTTGTCTATTGATACTACTGATATTTGTCTTTTGATACTACTGATATTTATCTATTGATAATATTGATATTTGTCCATAGGTACAGATGTAATGATTTAATATTTTCCCAATAGTTCAAAAGCTAGTGTATTTAGATAGGTTGGAAAATTCGGGGAATCACCCACACACCCCTTAATGAAACGTACTATACTGTGATAAACTACAGGTAGTTTTACGGTCTAGTAATTAACCTGTTGTGTTAAAACTTATTGGTGATTTTTAAAAATAGCTAAGCAGTAATAAAGTACTAATAAAGGCATGTTGCACAGTCATGCTCCATTGCATGGACAAAATATATGACTAGCGAATACCAGTATAAAAACTGACTGATAGCTGCAGATTTGTTTCCTTGTGTACATGCATGTGAACATACACGTAAGTTTATTAGTACCCTAAAAGAGGGAACAAATATACCTTTATTTGAATTATGAACTATCAGTCAAAGAACCTTAATTACACACTTACCTACTTTATAAGTTAATGAATTAGGTAACCAATTTGTGTCTACCAATTAACTGCTTGACATCTATATTAATATCTTTCGTTCTGTTTTATTCCATTCTCATTTAAGCACAAGACTTGACAGAGATCAAACTTTGTGAAGGGTTAAGATCCGGTACGATCCGGTACGATCCGGTCTTCCAGCATGTAGATCGTACCGGATTGTAACCCTTGGCTAGCGAAGATGATTTACGAAATACATTGTAGTTTTAACTAAAAACAATTAGTTTGTATATAGAAAAATAAATGATGATGGAATTCAAACACTTTAAATAGATATCGCTTTTTGTCGTTGATAATGTATTGAATACATGATATTTATTAATGTGCCTTGAATATTTTCCCAAATTTATCGAATTACTAAGAAACAATCGTTAATGTCCATGAGGATTTCGCTGCGTGATTTGATTCATTAATCAATTTTTGATTTTTTGATAATGATGATTTAAGTGGTAACGGGATACAAAAATAACGCATTATAGATGGTGGAAGATTTACTTGTAACGATTACTAAAACACTAATTTCACTAATTTCTACATTTGCGACGATTTGATTTCCGAGAATTTCGTAAAGAAATACGTCAACATTGATTTCCTAGTTTTATTGTATTCTTGTCAAATTGTACAGGATAAAATGCAAGACAGAATGTTTACAAACGTATTTTGTATTTGTATTGTATGAAACGTTTTGCTATAGTGAAGATAACAGTTGATATATATTATGCATCGCAAATATCTACGAGTTATATTCGTTCCATGTTCCCATTCTAAAGATGAAAATTATCTATGGTATGTACAACTTATATGGCATATAAAATGTCAATTTCCCTTTTACCCGACTGGCATTCAAAAGCGATTCTGTTTGAAGTGAGAAGCAAAACCTGATATAACCGCAATGTACAAAGTAGGTAGAACAATCAGACAACCTAACCTTCAAATGATTTCGACGACCACACTCACACCAGTAAGAAAGTTGTTCCTGCGCATTTGAACTGTTCATATTTTGTCATCTAGCTACCCTGTACATAACCACAACTAGACAAAACTAGACACACAAATATGTTCAATTCAGACGAAGATTACTGAACCGTTCAGTATGTGCGAATACATGGCATTGATACAATATATAACATATAATAATTATAGAGTATTAGTAATTGGTCCTTTAAAATACTTAGATATAGGTTAGAACCTCCCAACTTACGTTAGAGTAATGTAGAGCAACGGTAACTTATGATCTGGTTTTAATGAAATAGATAATAAAACCACAGTTACGATGTCACACAGCTTAGTGTCTTATCACGATAGCACACAACACTTGATCTTATCATGGTATCACACAGCACATGATCTTATCACGAAACATAGCACAATATATTATCACGATATCACACAGCACTGGATCTTTGTTTTACCACAATGTTTTAATTTTATTGCGCCTTTGTGTTTGGATGTCTCCTTCCTTGTTCCATTTTCCCCATTTTGTAACTCATCAGTTTTAATTTTTGTTTCACAACTTGTGGTTCCATCTTCCCTTCTAAGCGTACTCATTTGAATGTCATTAGATTTGTGTTTTGATTTTTTCTTCTTTTTCTTTTTCGGTTTCTTTCCCTTTGTATTGTCACCAACTATCATGTCAGATGGAAGTATTTGCCGCATTGTACTTCCGGTCTTGCGTACAATATCAGGTGGCCTTAACATGTTCGGATGGTAACTCTTCATCTAAAGCAAAGATATCATCAGCAAATTTAATGTTTAACATTGTAAACATTACTATAGACTAATTGAGAAAAAGGAATGATAAAATATAATGATCACGCTATCGGGTAAATATCGACAATTTTAGGGAGTAAATGGATTTGAATTATCCCATTATTATTTCACAGAAATGAAAATAACATTGTGGGTATTATATCCTTTAAAGCGAAAAATTCAAATAGAAAATCATCAAAACTACCTAGGTCAGAAATTATCAGTCGACTATCGGAAGTGGGGGAATTCCCGAAAAACGTAAGGTCATCATAAACAACACATAAATCAGTACAAGCGAACAACACAACCAGTTTAAAATAGTGATATAAAACCGCTTACAAGCCTTGGATCACAAATGTCAGTCACGTGATACGCCAATTTTTGGAAAGCATCTATCACATTTTCACCCGTCTTTGCACTTGTCTCAAAGAATCCAAAAGCCATGTGCTTATCTGCAAGCTAACAAAAGACAGAGAATGCATTGGTACTTGTAAGTATATATCTATAACGAGAGAAGTCAACGATTAATTGTTGATTTTGAAAGCTATATTTATGCTCAAGGTAAACTCATTTGATAATAAACACACGTGATTGGATGTTAATCCCAATTATTCTCACTTTACGGACAGGGTCAATATTGCATCAGTCATACATCATTTAAACTAGTCTCTGTACCAAACAAGTTGTCAGACTTGCTTCATCATAATAAGGGTGTGATGACGTCACAAAACACAGTAACATCGGGCTTCGTTATGTTATCCGATAATGATAAAATATCAAAGCTATTAGCTGTGGCCTTAAGTGATAAGAGATATTGGATAATCATTATTACTGTGACAGACGTATGTTATTAAACACGTTATGTTTTATATATACACTGTACATTGACAATCGGTGTATTCTAGCTGTTATATAACCCGCTCTTCCGAGTTCACCTGTCCCACAGTTGTTTCTTACTTAACTCATCGTGAGATAACGAATCTTCCATGGATGCGCATTCCTTGCAAACACTATTCAAAATGTTCCCTTGAAGACGTGAGACCAGACGACAATATCATAGATATTATTATTATTTACATTTACCTTATGCTACATTCCTCATTTGATGTATATATAAATATATATTTAATTTTATGTTTCGACGACAGAGGCATCGGCATATCTTGTTGAACTTTGAGACGTTATATTTGGGTAAACTACCTTCTGTCCCTCTCGGGTCTTCACTCTTCTATCCCGACATAGGTCCACTTTGTTTCCCACTATAACTAGTGGTACTGCCTCGTACCTGTTGTTGATATGGGCAACATCCTGTGTTAAGAAATTAAAGACTTTGGAAAAAAGTCCGGTTCTTGTTCACTTAAATAATATACAAGGTAAACAAAACAATTATAAAATAAAGGCCATGAATATCATATCACTACATCTTGATTAACAAATCAATCCGTTAATGTCAGCATTATTTTACATTCCTTTGTCTCGTAAAAAATACACACAGAAAGTAACAATAGTTAATTTATTTACACAATAATGTGCATGATACAAATTTGGATACCACCTTATAAATATCAGCCATAGCAGACATTATTCAACATTGAAATGCTTTCAGTCTGTATATATATATTCATTACTTCCTATTAGCGTCGTTAAACTATATATTTGCTTTACTTTTGATGCATACCTGTAATTACGGCGTGTATCATTAATTGTCTTCGTGGTTGCAACTTGCAAGTCAAAACGAGAACTTACTTATTGGATGTAACCTTGGTCTGCACTGTTTTGTGTTACACAATTGGTACATTAGATAGCCAATCGTACCTAACACACATTTACCTTGTTGACGCTGTCTATCCAGTAAGAAAGATGATGAAATGTCTCCCTGTCTGTGATATCATACACCACCATTATACCCTGACAATAAAGTCGAAAATAACATATGTTGATCTATATCCTATTTTGAAGTCCGCCAGATAGAGAACATAATGTTTGGGTCGTGATCGAAATTGCCATAGTACCATAGTACTGTTATATTTGTCCAAAGGCCAACATTAAAAAAGAGAGAAAAATAGGTACAGCTTGTCAATAAATAAGTTGAATGGTAATTTAAATGGAAAGATTTTATAATGTGTGTGTAAATATAACATTATAAAATGGCAATACAATGACTGATGATACAACAGTCACACGCCTCGTCCGTGAGGTAGTTTACAACTGACTTAGAATTAGTAAAAACTGGTAATATAAGGTCGCCAATACTATTATCAAAGTAGACACATATAGGTTAACGATATACAACTAAAAAAATATTCCCGAAATTAAATATATACATGAAAATGAGATTTAGCATCAACAACAAGACAACGTACCTTGGTGCCCCGGTAGTGCCATTTTGTTATGGAGTGGAATCGCTCCTGACCAGCTGTGTCCCTGTTAATGGACGTAGAACAATATAACGACTTCAGTGTATTCGCATAAACCAAGCTAGCCTGATTTATAATCTGTTCACGTAATGCACAATGAGACATAAGACAATTCGAACCAATTGAAATAACTAAAGAAAGTATTACCTATTGCTATTTGAGTCACACACTACAGAGAAAAAAATAATCATTGTCAGTTAATAAACAATAAATTGAAATATTCTAACATGTTATTTGCAAAACACCAAAGAGAAATTGTTTGCCATTGTTAGTTTAAGAACGCTAAAGAATCATGATGTGCAATTGTTAAGTGAGACACACTAAAGAGAAATGATTTACCATTGTTAATTGAGGCACACTCGCAAAAAATGACAAAGCATTGTTCTAGCTTGAAATATAAACTTGCTTCGAACACCTTGATAAGTGAGCGATAACTTACCATAAGTGCAACTGTACAAAAGCACCATCTACCTCAAATGATTTCCTCACAAAATCCAAAGCTAGAATAGAACAGAAGAAAACCTTCCAAAAACGTATTTTTTTATAAACATCAAAAGATGTTATTCAATACAAAACAAACACATGAAAGCACTTTTAGAATTGAAAATATAGTAAATGGTAAATCTAGTTTCTAAGAAATAGTTAGAAATATAAACAAAAACCTTCTTGCATATCTTTAATAATTAATATATATCTGCGGTTTGTAATTAATACTTTGTGTTACATGAAGCGCAGGTACCTGAAATTAGCCATAGAAAGGAAAATAAAAACGACGTTCCTTTTTTGATAAGAGTTTCAATTTGTTTTTTAATATTTTGTCTAACGGCTTTATTTATAGTGTATGTGCTAATACTTACTGAGTTAATAAAACTGAGGGAATATGCAATTAAATACTCATAAACATCTGATGCCATTTGAAACTTACTCACAAAGGGCAATAACTCTACAAACTGAGAAATTAATTCCACCATGTTTGACGGAAATTCAAGTACAAGATCAGCAGAAATTCTGTGACGTCATATATCTTTTATATTATATCATCTTTTTAAAATATGCAAATACTTTTTATTTCCTGCTATACATTACACTTACCGACCGTCGGCCTTGTTTTCTCCTGGAACGGTTCTGAAATCAGTGTCCTCAACAGAGCTGTCTTACCGACCGATGCGTCACCTATGATAAGGATCTTGTATGTCGCCTGGCAGGCGTCCTCACCAAGGGGCATAACTCCGGTAGTTAGTTTCGCATTCCAAATTAAATACTTTCCATAGTAATAACTAAAGTGAAGTGAATTTTCTTCAACTTTCTTCTATTGTGTCACTCCATTGTCGTGCCCTCACCTGTTAACAAAACGAAATACTTTAGGAATTTTAATTGGTACAATTTTAAACTACCTCAATGTAAAGAAATCACGAATTTGAATTCACATAAAAGCAATGCCAAGTCTTATATGTTTTCCTATTTAAAAAAAAAAAAACACATACCAAACACACATGAATGAATTAATAGTCAAACAATCACAGAACAACATGTATAGTCCTTTATAAATTAATGACTTTATACAGCAGATATTAAAGACTGCACCTATGAAATATTAATCCATTGCAATTTATATAATGGAGTAATGTTACCATCACCAACCGATTTGATATAAGGTCATCTAAGAACGCTCAGTTATATCCGACGGACCACGAAAGACTGAGTCAGCTATTACAGAAATATCATCATTGGTGTAGTTCACCCTGCCAACAACTGTTTATAACTGACAGTAACACACGTGCTACGTGTCATTTCTATCATCCATTAGATTTGTATATTTGTAAATAAAATATCTACATCTGCTGTAGTTCAAAGAGGGGTCGAGGTAGAGCCAACTGGCGATACCAGTGGTATGTTCGCTTCCGCATGGCTGGGATAAATGAGGAAGGTTACATAGCGCACCTGTCGCTTGACCATCAGCATCATTTTAGTTATCCCTTCAGTAAATAGCGCACCAGTCGCTTGACTATCAGCATCATTTTAGTTATCCCTTCAGGAATACTTTTCACTGCGTTCCTTGTGTAAGATAATTTCGATAGCGATAATCCCAGGTGTTTGTTCGATTAATAATAAACCTGATAATCGTTCATATTTGAGGGAGACGTGAGGTCACTGATTTCGCGAATGAATCACGATTCTCTACTTTACAACACCTTGTGAATTTTTGTAAATATCTCACAGTCAAATATCTTACAAGCCGTGAACTTAAATCTTGCATTTATAAAAATAAACAACTGACGAATACATACGTGGTAATATATCATATAGATTAATAATTATATATAGAAAAATAGTACCTATAACGTAGGTGTAAAATGGCCACCCATTTAGTACATTTGTCACGTGTGTGACCAATAAAATGATACTGAATCTATAAGACAATAAGAGTCATTGAGACTTTTAGAATGTAACAATAAACAGAGCATCTGTTATATGTAGTCTTCAAAAATGTATTAAACAATTATGGCAATTTATTATACAACTGTACCACTCGTCACGAGTATGCAGCTTAACTGTACCTAACAAATGACAACTAAACAGAACATTCATCACGTGTGGGCATCAAAAGAAATGAGTATCGTATAACTAAAAGATTGGAGAATTATTAATGCTTGACATATGTCATATCGTGTAAAGAGCTCTTAGATAACGATGATTCACAACAAGTGACACCCGTCAGAATATAGTCTGTTATATTAGGAAACAAAATTGACGATCTTATTTAGCAATAGATCTGTAAATATTGGAGAAAACATAATTGTCAAAGTTAGAAAACATTTTTGCAAAATTTAGAAAGTATAGATTGAAGTATGAAAAACCTTGTTGGAGGAAATTTGGAAAGAAACACATATCCGTATAATTTACACCTGATGAAACGATTTCCATTATATAGTTACCGGTTCCACACAACCCTGATCGTGAAACAAAAGAGTGCAATTAATTTACCCTTACAGTTATTTTTGAGAGCGAATCATAATTTGTACAAGTAAACTAGTACTATTACAGGTAACACCTGGCCACAGCAGCCAGCATACCAACACAGATACAGGTGTATCAACACTATTAGATGGATACATGTGTACTCACACTTTACAGGTAACACCTGTCCAAAGATACCTGCATACCAACGCATTAGTCACTACACTTGGTCACATACGGTACAGGCTCATAAATACATCAATAATAAATCTGACCACTGACCACTAATTTATCTAGATGTCAGTGAACACATCGCAAATGTAATAGTTTAGTTTTAATAAATCAACAGATTAGTAAAGAATGGGTGATAGTTCAGTTAAAATACATCAGAATATTATTGTAAATATAGCAAAGGTATTAGTTTTCGATTCAATTTATCAAAAGGTTAGAGTAAACATTTCGAAGGTGAAGTTAAGATTTAATATATCTATATCAAAATGTTATAGTTAACATAACAAAGGTAATAGTTTAGTTTTAATATATCAAAAGGTTATAGTAAATATAGCAGAGGTAAAAGTTTAGATTTAATATATCGAAAGGTTATAGTAAATATAGCAGATGTAAAAGTTTAGATTTAATATATCAACACATCAGTGTAGAAAAGGTAATATACAATTAGTTTTAATATATCAACAGTGTTATCAAAAGTTCAAAAGATCTATGTTGACGTAGTTAACTTCAAACTTCAGTTTGAATTTGTGCAGACATACCAATAGATGTTATTTTAGCAACAAATACGTTGCGAAACATACTAAAAAATAATTACCTTACATTTTCTCCACTTATCATTGACATGCAATGTTTTTCTGACACGTGTGTATCACTCACCATAAATAATGTATGACATCTCAAAAAAAAGAGTACAACAATACCATACCTTAGTCCTATCAAGGACATACGTACGTTCCGTTCCTGCTCTTTCTACGTTTCAATATACTATGATCTCACTACAACAAGTTACCTGTGTAAAGACAGCTTTACCCTCTTAAAATTAAAAATAAAATCATATGATACATGTAAACATAACTGTGCTAAATCTTTGGTTACCTACATATCGTTTGTCAGTTCCGAACAACGAAATTCGAGCTATTTGAAAAGCTTTTTAACATCTATTTAGCTAATAAAAAAAAATAAGTATCATACGCATGTTTCCGTGTAAAATTTGTTTGGGTACGTGCACAAGGAAGTAACAAAAATAGGCAAGTTAATGTGTCATGTGTAATATCGCTTGTAAATAAACACACCCAAGATAGCCCACACGACTTTTAATATCACCTTATTCTATTGTACAGGCGTTTTACTTTTAATAAGGAAGGTATACCTGTAGAGCATGACGATCCCACGTATATTTATCAGCAGTGATATAGCCATTGTAACAATGATAACCTACTAGCATGCTGGTTCATGTAAAAGTGTCGGTATTCCAGTCACTAACAAAACCATTCCTCACCTCTATGTGTTTTGGTAGAAGAATTTCAACTGAAAACATGAAATTAATAATGCTTGCCTGTAAAACACGAGGCTTTCGCTGAAACAATGTAAACATGTATGTCTAGTGTTACGATCTCTTGGTGTCATATTGCAGTTTATATTTCCTTGGCATGCACCCTTATAAAAAAAATAACCCACTCATAAATGACATTGAGTAGTCTCATTTAACAAAACATGGTTTCTCCAGCCAACACTTAAAAATGACAATAAAGAATCCTATATCTTCAATCTATTTACATCTAAAGTATGTATCTTAAAAGCAGGCCAGATTGTTTCTGAGAGTACATCACGCCACTAAATATGAATATATAACACGCGTATAAACAGCTTCTTTTTCAAACGCTGCTTCCATTATTTTCCTATTATATAACCACCAGATAAATCACATTTGTGTATGTATTCACTCAGGATTATACAAACCTGACATCTGAAATATAATGAGTTTTCTTTTCGTGCATGTCTGAATTCATTCAATTTATATTTTGAACTTACAACGTCAAATCAGTTATAATTTACTGATATTTTCTATTTATTGTCGATTCTGCAAAGATACTCCTGCAATGTTTATTCACCATAAAAAAAGTCTCTTTGAACATTTTACTTTTGTATTGTTTGCAAAATGAATGCAATGTATTACATTGTAAACGTTTGGTGATATCATATTACAAACACTTGTCTGAATAGTACCGTTAAGACGTTAATGTGTAAAAGTAACTTAGGTGCTAGGAAATAAAACCAATTACTTTCAATTTAATACAACTACAATACAACGACAGATTGATATTGAAAACCAATTTCACCTATGATATATATTACATATGGACACAAATATCGATCCCTGAAATCAATCTCATTAATTAGCATGTTGATGTTGTAATATTGTTACTTTGATGACATATACCAAGGATCTGTTGATTAAGTGGAATATCGGCACCATGGATGCTTCCTGACAAGGTTCAATAATTGATTAAATATAACCTGATCAAAGATTCCTGAATTAGTAACAAATTAACGAGATCATGTATGGCGACCAGAATAGACACACAATGTATGACCGTTCACGTTCCGTGTCGCGTTGGCTATCAATAGAAAACTCACTCCTGTTACAGCGCAGTGTGTACCCTTTAATCAAGTAGGCAGAATAGCATTACAGTGAAGCTGCGTAGCTCACAGGATCAGGGTCAAAATTTAAATGTCTGATAAGCATACAGAGTCGAGAGCAAGATTTTTAGGAGAGAACTGGTATAGACCTAGCCTAATGTGCAATCCCTTTCTGTACCATCTTTAAATACAAGTTGCTGAAATGAAGTAAAATGAAATGCAAGTTTCCGAAACGCAATTTTTTGAGAAATATTTGAAATTTTAGAAATTAATTTCGTGGTTCTTTTCAGATGATTATTTTGAAGGGCCTTTCTTTATACGAACGGTTTTTTAAATTCAACTTTGAAAACAAAAGTTTATATTTGGGGTTAAATATTAAATTGATTTGAATTAACAAGACTTTGAGAAACGGAGCCGAGCTTTATCATTCTTTGTAAGCTAAATGATACATATAGATCAGGTTTCCTCGCAAATATTTCCTTACTATTGAATTAAACCTTTAACATACGTATACTGTGATTTAAAAGTATATGATGTAGTAGAATAACATGATAAAGTTTTCTTTTTAAATTCAGTTCAAACAATAAATATCTTTATCAAAAATTTGAATTAATGCTGTGATGATGAACCTCGATATAATTCATTCAAGCTGGTTGGTTTTGGGTTGGTTTCTTGATTTAAATAGTTTATTCCCGATAATGACCGATAACTAAACCTAGTCCTTAGTATGGGCTTGGTTCACTCCTTGTGTTTACGATGTGTATCCACACCTTTATCGACCCACAACAGCTAATTATACGGTGTTTGGGATAATGATAGAATGTGTCACTGGTGTTGTCGAAATGTTAACGCCCCTAACGTATGTAGATAATGGTATATGGCAGCTTTGATACCGCTAGGTTGCTTGAGGTGATTTCAGGACATGTCAAATCAGCACCATATCAAATACACTGGACACAGGGTCAACAAGGACATGCTGGCCAATCGCACGATCAACAATCTGTTGCATTACGTGTCAAATTATATGTGTCCTTTTTCGTTAAAATACTAAAGGCATACTAAGTTGAATAAAGACAACGTTATACTCGGTCACCATCATAGTCGATGTCGCCGTCATGTGGAACGAAATGTCCTGATTTGGTCACTGATATTGCACCAGGTTCTACTAATAAAGTCTCCCTCTGTAGTGCAAGATAATACATTAATACATTGGTCCGCGCTTTAACCTATTTTTCGACTCACCTTCGACGAGTTCAATTTCCCGATTTGAACTCTCCCTTTCTTTAAATTATCATACCTGCTTCCCCACGATATTTACTTGTTCGATTTTACTATTTCTATGATAGTATCTACTGACAACCGAAACTAACAGTTAAAAGTGTTATAGGACAAATTTATGGTCACCATAACAATCTCATAGGGAAATATTTATCCTTGCACGATATGTTTGTCAATATATGTTATTATGTCTAATTGTTTCGTTATCGCGTTCCTGGTTCTCGCCGTACGATTTTCTCATCCGATTCTCACCATAAGGACATGACATTACTTTGATTAGAACATTAATTACATTGTGGGTATACTGTTTCGTTGAAACAGAACATGCAAACCTTTTTGGAACGTACCTTGGCTAAACCTTCTGTACCTGTCCACAGGTTTCCATGTAAATCTGTTCCTTGTTCTTTTTCTGTCATAATTTGACTTAGAGTTTAATGAGAGCAGGTGTTCCGGAAGGGTAAGCAGTTTCTGTATCACCAACGATACCAGCTAAATTAATATGTTCCGAATGCAGATAATGTTATGTCCTTAAAAAGAAAACCGGGGCAGTAGCATTTATATGCAGCTGTTTCTGGATGAAAATAAAGAGGAAAATTCTACAACTCATTCAATATAAAAGTCATGTTTACAAAACTGCAATTTCCATCTGTCATACGGGCGAATTTTAGTCATTCTGGTTAGTTTTTTGTTTTTGTTTATCTCCGCATTTCAGTTTGTATTTAATGAGATTCCTAAAACATTGACGTATACTGTATTGTACCAAAGCGTAGACACGTCTTACGTAGTACAGGGAATGGCTATTTGTAGACATTGAAATTGGTATTGATTAGCATTGTATTATGGATGCCGGCGATATACCACATTTCAGTGAGATAACACCATAACGTCAAGGGCGTATAGACTTACTCAAGTCAAAATATGTGGACAGGAAATAGGTGATAATCATAGAGACGGATATAGCCTGTGTAGTAAACTTTAAACTTAATTAGCCTTATTTTGTTTCGTAATACGATGGTGGATATGCCTTGACATTAAGTTGACAAGAACCTCAGCGTGTGGGTACAAATATGTCTTACGTTGTGCACATACATACACATAAGGCAGAAGGTTTATAATACAAGGAGGATAACCTGCATAGCATGCATAATGTGTACCAATACACTTAGAAAGTTCAGGGTATAACCTTACATTATATTAAGAGAGTGTAGTGTATGTAATGATAAAAAGTAGAAATCAGTAGGTATACTGATCGATTCTTTATCTTAACTGCTGATAAGTAGAACTTCATCAGACACAAGAGTATATAAGTCTCAGTCTCTGTGAAACACTTTTAACTCAATTGTCTCTGCGTTTTATCCCACCTGTTACATAAGCAGCATCGCTATGACATCATGTGTAAGGCGCTATATAGCTTATGGGGTTTTACAGAACACTTACAAGTGTTTTAGAAGTTGTTCATCAACAGGCGAAATGATGAAGTTCTAGATATGACCAGACTCGAAATTTGAAAATCAAGGAACAATACAAATATAATGAAAATATACTTACTTGAACACTTTCATCGCATTCCGATGCTCCTCAATGCTCCGTGTGAACTGGAATAGTGACAGCACGATCGAGTAGACGATCGAGTAGGGAAAACCCACAGCGTAGGACACGGATGTGTACATGTCTGCTGAATGAGGAAAGATAAGTTAGCTATCACACCACGGTATACACAATAGCTTACTTCAAACGTCGGGGGAAGGTCTACCGCGGGTATGATTTGAATCTCATTATTTCCAACGAGACGAAAACAAAAAATTGGATATATGTTTGGACCTATATTTATGTGTACAATTGCATGTATTAATTATGTAACGTTTTTAGGGCTTTAGATCAACACTCTGTAAAAGTGTTCACCGCTAAATGTGATATACCGAAAGTTTAGAAAGTTATCTGAATATGGACACAACCTAACTTTCTCGCTGAAAAAAACGCATTTCTGGTGTGTTCAAAGTATGCTTGTCATTGCTGGAAGATGGGTTTTTTCCTTTAGATAACTTCAGCATACATTTATATGCAAAATATAAAAGGTATTACTCGTGAAAAAAAGTACAAAGTCTGCAGGCGAAATAAAGTAGGTGGGTAAGTTTTCACAATAACATACTGTAAGACGCGGTACATAGAGTAAATATAAATACACACTTAAAAAAAAAATGCTTTTTATTCAATCACAAATATGATTTTGTAAGATTTTAATGTCCATCATATGCTGTTTTACTCCTTGATGTTCAAAAAGGAGCAGAAACATGAAAATATCTATTTTCAAAAGATATCCCGCTCGCTCTGAACAGCTTCATCCCGTACAAGTTATTTGTTTGAAAATAAAACTACGAATGTTACTATTTAAAGTACAGTGTGATAACCAACACTTTCCCCACTAAGAAGTCTTCCCCGCCCTGTAAACATTTCTGTAGGTCTCGTCTGGGTCGAGACGTGCTTACATAGTTCGCCAAAAAAAAACACTTGTAGTGTAAAATTTGGATCCTATTACTATAGGATATGTTAGCTTAACGCGTTATCAAATAGTTCAAGGAAACAAATATTGTTTTTGGCGGGTCTTTAGTTATTTATATTTAACAGATATGCTTATGATTTTCCTGGTGATATATCTACGTTAAGTTTCACTAGTCTTGCCGTCTGTATTACACTAGTAAGTACTCTTTTACTGAACCTGTTTTAAAAAAAAAGATGATGAAGACTCCTACATACAAAAAGATATGACCTCCAACGAAACGTTACCTTGCTCACACAAATAGGCTTCTCAAACAATCGTCAAACAGCTTGTGTATAAGTTGTCGTAAACCAAGAGAAACCATGCAGGGAAAAAATGAACGCTATATATGAAGGTAAGAGTGTCAATTGCTTAGATCTTATAAATATATTCTTCAGACAACACATCAAAGTATATTAGTGTAAGTGTTCAGTTTTATACTATCATAAATTAAGAAATATCCATCTCGACTTATTCTGAAATACATACATATTATATGAAACATTTTACGTACTAAATGTGAAACAGTCAAGCTAAATAACGTTACAGGAAAATCTCGATACTAAGAACATTTTCTGGAGAAGAGAATAAACAGTATATATATATAAGTAGACTCCATATGCAGGCGAGCCTGGTATGTTGCTGTTGATGAAAGGAAATTAACAAGCGGGAAGTTAAAGTTTTCAAATCGACATACAGTTTGTGGTAAGGTGACCATATATTAGTGTCGTTCTTTAGGTGAGAAATGTTAATCTAAAGAAAAGGGGTTGTTCGTGTTTAAAGATACTTTCCAATTGTTGGCAAAGAAAAAGCAGACAGATTGTTAAAATTGCAATCTCAATTGAGTATATACCAACAAGAAGAAGGAGTGTGTATTTGTTTATGTAATGAAATATGAATTGATATCTTTTTTTATGATAAAAAGGATGTACCATCTCTGTTGTGGTCGCTGCTTAATGAAACATTTTATTAACTTCAGTTTTTCTCAAATTGCATTTGATTACACATAAAACAACTCTCCTTATAGTAGGCACGTTTCAGAAAATGTCACCATCCTAGCGGTTTGTATAATCATCAATTAACAGTGGCTGGGACATTATGTCATTACATGTATTCCAGTGCCTCCATTGTTCTTTATCTTTTATGTATAATGACTTTCGACATAAAGTTTTGAATTGCCTTTGTGTATTGGCAATCTGGGACATTGTGCCCAGATTAAGTCATTCATGTTTGATAATTTGCGACTGAAATTTGATTAGACATATCCAGCTCTACACACAGCGAAAACATTTACTAAGTCGGATCCCCAGCGAAATTACTTTAATATGTTGCTGTACCGTCCCGAGTTGTAAACAAATCCTTCTTTGTGGCCAATGGTTCACTTCCGCTCGTGTTTTCATATTTATCTTTCGTAGATAAACGCCCGTTGAATCTCGACCCAAAATAACCCAGCAGGCACGTGCGCTCACTAATGAAGCAGGTGGGGTCAAATATCGAGGTCGGCCATTTTGAGATAAGATGTAATGTAAATATAGTTTAATTGACTGTTATCGCCATAGTAACGAGTTCAGTAGCATGGTAACAAGAGCCAATATGAATGTATCTTTTGTGGTGCGTATTTCTTAAGATAATCAAATCATGATTTATAAAAAGGAAGTATGTGAGAATATATAATACATATCATAAGTAGACTGTAGTCGTACTCTCGTCGTCATTACAGTAATACCGGTGTCTGGTTAGCTTATTTTCTATCTTTAAAATAGACACAGTAAAACTTGAAATTGTGTGCCAAAGATCTAAGGAACATAACGAACTTACATAATCTACAACTGAGGAGACACAAAAAAAAAAAAAACACATTAAGATATAGAAGAGGAGGCATGTGTTACTGGCAATGTGTTCCCTTTGTCCATCCGCTCTCTCGTCAAATCCCGGAACATGGTTTGGTTTGATTAAATTTTGTTTAACGTCCTATCAACAGCTAAGGCCATTATATATATATATATCACCAACTATAGAAGAATAGAAAACTTAATGCAAATTAATCATGTTAATTAGACATTGAAACGTCGTGACGAAAATCATGTCATGACGGCAACCGTATAGTTTTGAACGTAGATGGCAAAACTGTAGACAGTAAGGCTAAGAACAACTATATATACAGTAGATTATCACTGTTCAACAGGACACATCTTTTTTTAGAAAATCGTTATGCACTGTAATTCCACCAAATGTGACATGTAAACAACACAGACTGGTTATACAAATTACTTCAGAAGAAACGTTAACTTGATAACTATCGTGAAATTGAAATCGTCAGATATATTACTAGTGCTGATACAGTAACCCGGATTCGTAGTGTCCCTGTGGCACTCGTCAACTCGATAACTCCTTATATTTCTTAGGAAATGGATTCATCAAAATTTAGAAAATGACGTGAACGACTCGCCAGTAAAAAGTACTGATCATGCATTATTAGCACTCAAGAAGTGATGTCGAGCGCTCGAGATATTAAACGTAGAAAGTAAGATTGTGTATGTCCTAAATGTACCACCGTAATCTCCAGGTAAAACCACGGAATTAGATTTTGCTATGCAAGTCCGTCGTGAAACGAAATAAGTTGTGGTATCTTTAATTTCAATTCCTCGAAGGCAATTTAACTGGAACAAATCAAGTGATCGGAATTCATATTTTTCAAGGACAAAATATGAATATAAATGTATATTTGAATGTTAATTTAAAGGATCGGGCAAATGTCTTAAAAGAACTTGCATGAGTTCAGCTTCAAAAGAATATAAAAGCATAAAATAAGCTTAACGTGTTGTACAGGCAGACGGATAACGATTGTCAATAGTTTAACTTTATTAAATTTTCTCCCACCATTGCGTTATAATTATTGTCAACCAAAACATTCACAGCGCGATTGATTATGATACTGTCTATATAAATATTCTCTTTGTTTGGCGTACAATATTGTAATTATATTTTTACGCTGAACTGAGAAGAAATGTATCGGAAGATCTGCTCAATACCTAACAGCTGATAGCATGATGATGTAGATTTTTTTACTTTCAGTGTGACACGCGGAAGTGACGGACACTATAATAGGGAGGTGAAGTGTTCACTTGAGATCTGGGCCAGACATAAGCAACTTTGTTGTGGTTGCAAACACAAGGTTAGGGCGACACACACATCTATCTACTCCACATAAATACGGAAATCATCGAACATTTTCTCCGATAACGTCCGGAACTTCATTTATCCTTAATAGTTAGTACAAAAATCTTCCTGTGTATGCAAGGGGAGGGGGGGATCTACCGCGGGGATGATGTGAATCTTGTTAATTTCAATGAGACGAAAACAAATTACAGGATATCTTTTTGGACTTATATTTATGTTTATGAATTAATTATTAAACTATTAGGGCTTTAGATCTAAGCCCTGTAAAATGTTCCCCGCTAAAGATGGTATACCGGAAGTGTGAACCGTTTTCGATGTCCGAACAGTTCTGACATGCTTGGTATTGTGGGAAATATATCTTTTTAAATCCAATAATCTTCTGCATACATTTTACATGCAAAGTATAAAAGGTATTTCTCGTGAAAATAAAGTGCAAAGTCTGGAGACGAAATCAAGTAAGTTGGTAAGTTTTCACAATAACATACTGTAAGACGTGGTGCATAGAGTAAATACCAAAATACACTTAAAAATAAACAAATATTTTGCTGCTTTTTTAATTCCAGATATGATTTCCCCCGAGTTAAGTGTTCATCCATTTGTAGACTGTAGTGTCCTTCCTATGCAGTTTTTACTCCTTGATGTTCACATAGGAGTAGAAACATGAAAATAGCTATTTTCAAAAAGTATCTCGCACTGAACAGCTTCATCCCGTACCAGCTATTTGTTTAAAAATAAACTTACGAATGTTACTATATAAAGTACAGTGTAATAACCAGCACTTTCCTCACTACGAACTCTTCCACGCACTATAAACATTCCCTATGTAGGTCTCATCTGGGTCGAGACGTGCTTACATAGTTCGCCAAGAAACCCACTTGTAGTGTAAAATTTGAATCCTATTACTATAGGATATGTTAGCTTAACGCGTTATCAAATAGTTCACGGAAACAAATATTGTTTTGGCGGGTATTTAGTTATTTATTTTTGACATATATATGCTTATGATTTTCCTGATGATTACACTGGTAGGTACTCCTTTACGGAACCTGTTTAAAATAGATGAGGTATATTCCTACATACAAAAAGATATGAACTCCAACGAAACGTTACCTTGCTCACACAAATAGGCTTCTCAAACAATGGTCATAATGTGCCGTAAACCAACAGAAACCACGCAGAGAAAACAAATGAAAGCTGTATATGAAGGTAAGAGTGCCAATTGCTTAGATCTTATAATAATAATAATAATAATAATAATAATAATATACAACATTTATATAGCGCCCTATATAATTTGTAAAATTACTCTAAGGCGCTTTACAACATATGGATAATAGTAATGGTTATAATTGTGAAAACAAACAACAAAGGCTTGCAATGACTTTCATACATTTAACAAGCAATGTGCACATAATTGAACAAATAAAAGGGTGGTATTTACATGACGTCTTTGCAAAGATTCTAAAATGCAGACGTGAAGAGGTGAGTTTTTATGTCCCTCTTGAACTTGGCCACGGTATTTGACTTCCTTATAGCAGATGGTAAGCTATTCCACAACGTAGCCGAAACCCTCCCAAAGCATCTGTTTCCGTAGGTCACAGTACGAGATGCATTATAGATATATTCTTCAGACAACACATCAAAGTATATGAGTGTAAGTGTTCAGTTTTATACTATCATAAATTAAGAAATATCCATCTCGACTTATTCTGAAATACATACATATTATATGAAACATTTTACGTACTAAATGTGAAACAGTCAAGCTAAATAACGTTACAGGAAAATCTCGATACTTAGAACATTTTCTGGAGAAGAGAATAAACAGTATATATATATATAAGTAGACTCCATATGCAGGCGAGCCTGGTGTGTTGCTGTTTATGAAAGGAAATTAACAAGCGGGAAGTTAAAGTTTTCAAATCGACATACAGTTTGTGGTAAGGTGACCATTTATTAGTGTCGTTCTTTAGGTGAGAAATGTTAATCTAAAGAAAAGGGGTCGTTCGTGTTTAAAGATACTTTCCAGTCGTTGGCAAGGAAAAAGCAGACAGATTGTTGAAATTGCAATCTCAATTGATTATATACCAACAAGAATAAGGAGTGTGTATATGTTTATGTAATGAAATATGAATTGATATCTTTTTTATGATAAAAAGGATGTGCCATCGTTTTATTAACTTCAGCTTTTCTCAAATTGCATTTGATTACACATAAAACAACTCTCCTTATAGTAGGCACTATTTAGAGAATGTCACCATCCTAGTAATTTGTATGATCACCAATTAACAGTGGCTGGGACATTATGTCAGTATATGTGTTCCAGTGCCTCCATTGTTCTTTAATGACTTTCGACATAAAGTTTTCAATTTGCCCTTGTGTATTGGCAATCTGGGACATGTTTGATAATTTGCGACTGAAATTTGATTAGATATCGCTTAGTTCGAATGACTGACTATCTCATTTTATAATCTGTAAACGAATGATACTGTCTTTATAAATATTCTCTTTGTTTGCCGTACAATATTGTAATTTTATTTTTTACGGTGAATTGAGATGAAATTTATCGGAAGATCTGCTCAATACCTAACAGCTGATAGCATGATGATGTAGCTTTTTTTACTTTCAGTGTGACACGCGGAAGTGACGGACACTAATAGGGAGGTGAAGTGTTCACTTGAGATCTGGACCAGACATAAGCAACTTTGTTGTGGTTGCAAACACAAGGTTAGGGCGACACACACATCGATCTACTCCACATAAATACGGAAATCATCGAACATTTTCTCCGATAACGTCCGGAACTTCATTTATCCTTAATAGTTAGTACAAAAATCTTCCTGTGTATGCATGACACCGTTAAATAGCCACTGTCTGTTTGTTTTTAGTCAGTCACTTCTAATAATAATTACAGCTTAAATATCGTTCATAGCCCTATCCGGATATTATGCACAATCCAACCGCCTACACACAATTACTATCTCCGATAGAAACTGCCCGATATCTACCATCCGGCATACCGTTATTTTGCTGATCTAGCCAGTGGCGGATCCAGAGACCTATCTGGGAGGGAAGGGGGATCTATCCAAATTTGCAAGCATAATTTGTCCTTTACAGATGAAACTGTGCATTTTTGTGACGAATTCCATCCAACTCCGGTTATTTATTTACATTTAATTAAAATTTGTATTATGTTTACTGAATGTTTGATTTAATTCATATATCACGCATGTAAAAGAGATTGCATAGTGTTATCTTCTCTACATAAAGTATTGATTTGTACAAAAACGTTGTCACTTATTGCAGAGACGTATATTATAAGAAGTTTGCGTACGTGTTTGTTAGTCTTCTGCTATATATACATTACAGTAAAGTGGTGACGCGTCTCCGCGGGTTGGTTTATTTGACCTATTTAATGGGTTACTTTTATTGTTAGCCTTATTTCTCGCATTCTTAATTTGTGCTTCATCACGGACTTAGATAACTTATCTAATTCCGCGGTTTCATTGTGTTCACTATTATTTCTTATCAAGCCTTCTCCCATCTATTCCCTCTATAATATATATACGTATTTAATTGTTTTCGGTCATTGTTGTATATATATCGTCATTATCTGAGATTTTGGCTTATAATTTCTGCTCCTCTTACATGTACACACAACAGGTATATCCCCGAACTTTCCTGGTGTAACATTAATATAGTTTCTGCAACAGAGAGGAGGTGCATTTTAGTGCATAACTTTCCTTTCGCCGTTCAAATGTTTGGTCTTAGAAAAAATGTCAGCCCTAGTATGCATCATGCCGCACATGACGTACATGCACATAATTCGAATATAATGTCACTATATAATAAATGAAACAACAAAAAGGACGTCGATTGTCAATTCCAATCAGTTTTTCTATATAACCAATGATTTATCCACCATCTTTTAATTTTAAATATATGTTCATACCCGGAAATTTCCGGAAATTATGACCGCTTCCATTCTGTGTTTAGTTTGTACTTCAAAGAAAATGGCGGATTCTTCAAATTGTTGTAAACAAACAAGCTATGATATACCCATAGCACGATAATATTTAATGGTAATATGATACTCTTTTGTATGTATAAGCTAAGTTGACATTTAAGCGTATGCTATTTACTTTATTTTGGTGCTGGTTAGTCAAACGCAGTTCTCATTATTTGAATTCTGACTTACTGACCAATGCAACTTGCAAGCAGTATCGACAGTACTGAGTACGGCCGGTTATTTTCTGTTAACTGTTTTGCTGATTTGCTTAATGGGTTTGGATTCGGAACTTACTGTTGGAGTTTAAAGTCATTCAGTTAGTGATACTCTTCCCTATTTTGTGGTTTGAGTACGTACCGTATTACGGTATACTCAGATACTATCAGAGTTGTGTCTTTCATTACGAAGACGGCCCGTTATACTATAAGGGAGACAACTCTCCAAAACTAATCACTGCGATCGGATCGGTCCAACTTTTTACAGTTTTGTCTATATGGCTTTATGAACTGAATTAGAATTATATTTAATACTATATGTTGAACATAATTTAATTTGACTTCGTAAAGAAGTCCATTTTGTTGATCATGACATGTCCTACTTAAATATCATCTTGCTGACAAAAATACAAGCAAACAAAACTTTGAGTTGACAAGTCAATAGACAAATGTGTACTTTAAGGGTATAGGCCACAAGATACTGGGATACTAAAGAATTCATTTTTTTTTTACCATAGTATTATACACAAATATCAATATCCCGGTTACGGTAGGCCTGGAAACTGGACTGGGTCGAACGTCAGCGACCAGGTAGCTCAATTGGAAGAGCGTCCATCTAGAACCCTAGTCTGGCCGTAACATGAACATTTTCTCTTTTCCCTGTTGCAAAATTTGCAAGCCTGCCAACCACCCTTGTTTCAAGCATTGGGAGTACACTTAAGCAAGGGGATACCCATAATACTTGGGCTGTAAGTAGTTGTGTCTTCATGATCAGGGGTGAAGAAAAAGGAGGGAGGGATGTAGCGAAACTGGACTGGGTCGATCTACACAGGAAGCTCAACTGGTAGAGTATCTGTCTAGAGTTTAGAGGGTCCCGGGCTCAAACCCTGGTCTGGCTGTTACATTTTCTCTTTCTCCTGTTATACTGTTCAATGTGTGTCCAAAGTGTTGCAAAGTTGCATTGGTTTTAGACCAAAAAAAATTGAACCTGGTATTAGCAGCAAGAAGTAGAACTTATATTAACTTCTAGAAATATTGTTGGCATCATAAACCTGTAAGAAAATGTTTTTCTTTTTCTTTTTGAAAACAGAGTTTAATATTGAGTGTTTTTAAACAGATATAAACATATGTTAGTAAGGAAATTAACATTAATTTTATATCAATTACTATATGGTAATAATATCATTTCATATTTTACAGAAATCATGGAAAAGCCCCCTAATACAGATATACTTGGCTGGTATGTCAACAAACTATACAAAAAAGCTTTGGATCAATGTCTACAACAATCAACAGCTGTACCAGCTCAAGGTCAAGTCAACAGAGGTCAAGGCCAAGGTCACAGTGACAACTTTGCCAAGAGTCCAGTCTGTAACTCCATGCTGAATGGTGACCTGTCAACGTGTACAAGAACAATACAAAAGGATGACACCTATCAATCTAGAAAAGGTCAAGGTCAGAAATCAAACTTTCAGAGTCATGACTCAAGATCTACTCATGAGGAAGTGAAACAACCAAAACTTATTGAAAATCAAAATAAGTTGAGTACTTCTCAAGAAATGTGCCTTAAACAGCCACAATCTTCTAGGATGGTCCATGAGAACACAATTCTGTCTGAAAAAAGATACACAGTAAACAAAAATAGTGCTTCTTATGTGCGTGAATCAGATATGACAGGGAATTACAGCACAGGTAGACAGCACATGAATGAGACAGAAAACTATTACGTAGAAAGTTCAAAACTAGAACGGGATACTGTGTCCAATTTAAAATCTAATATAGGTTTTTATAGACATTACGATTCATACAGTCACCAAAATCTTCTGTGTAGTAGGCATAAATACAATGAATCTAAATTGAGTCAGGTTGTTACACATGACCTTAGTTATTGGGGTCGAAGGTCACAACCACCGATTTTCAAGGAGACAGAAAATATGAGAAATGGTAGATGTGAAATGCCAAAATATGATATTCAAACATTGAAGCCAAACGGGACAGACTTGTCCTGGTTCAGACATTCGGTGCAACCTCAGCAGACCAATATACACGTGCCCATTAGTCAGTCATCGCTCAACAAGGATGATCATTTTCGTTGTCGTCAACATTCTCCTAACACGGATCGTAGAATGATAAACTTGGTGGTTCCTTTACATCCTTCTGTGAACATAGAGAGAGAATCTAACAATTTGATTACCTGTCAACATTCTGATTCTGTCAACAAGGGAAAATGGTTGTCACAGAGTTCTTGCTCACATCAACATCCTGCCAAGATAGACAGCAAGGGGTCAGAAAGCACTTCCCCACATCAACATTCAGTGGACACTAACGCACAGTTTCAACCATCTTCTATCTCAAATGACAGACTAGCGACTAAGACTTCTATAGACTATAAAAAAACACCAACATTTAAGTCTTCAATTTTCTTCAGTTTAAAATCTAATCATCACAACTCGGATCAAAGTCTGTTGTCCGAACAGTCCTGCATCATCACAGAACACTGTGGTAACAGAGTTGAACAGAAAAGTCCAGTGGTTGTCGAAAGCACAAGTCATAGTGTACAACCTCAATCACATAATACATGTGATGTTCATCCATGCAATGATATTTTGGAACCTTGCGAGCAGTTGAAGCTAGTTAAAGAATGCTCTTCCCATAGTCCTAAGGCAGTACCTGATCAGGCCAACACTGAGAACACTTCTACAGAATGTAAATATTTTGGAAAAGAGAAATCTCATTACTTCTTTAATATTAAGTAAATTATAATTGCATGTTTATTATTTAATACAAGATCTAATTTTTTAATTGTCAAATTTTACAAAACATTGGATCATATACATGCATCGTACATTGTAGCGATAGATGGCCGATCATAATGAAATATAATGCAATATAATACTTGGTCATGCTGCTTTACAATATATGTGTGTGTCTGTTTATTAAATATTGTGTAGGATTTTGATTGAGTTTATTCAAAAGTTACATACTGGTTGAGACAAATCAATAATCGTGCATGCATATATTGTTCTATAGATTTACAGAGCATAGAGAAAGAGGGAACAAACATTACATTAGATCCTGATGAGAGTGAAAGGTTGAAGACTGCATCAGGTATATTGGCTACTCCCTCGACCAGTGCTGCTTTGGAAGATCTTGTCAATCGACTTCCAACCTCCTCCCACAAAGACCCATCAGCCAGTGAAATTGAGCCAGAGAATTCGGTGGCGGTTGTCCCATTGACTGATGGAAATCTGAAGCTGCATCACATCAGAATTTTGTCTGGCTCCTCCCCTAGTCAAAACAACGGTGCTGACAGTGATAGTGGAGAGAGCTGTAAATCTGGCATTGTCATCAAATCTGGTAGGTACATCACACACCCATACAGTATATAATATACTGGTCGGGAATATTTCAAAGATAACCTCATACTCACCTTTTTTAATTGAAATTTAATCTTTCAGACAAGAAGAGATTAAAAATAACACTTAATCATATAAATACTCAACAGATTTTGCGATCTCCGTCCAGTTTATATTTTTTACATTTTGTGCATATATGTGTTTGGTATTTGATAATAAAATACAAAAACATCCAATCATACTGAAAACAAGTACTACACACTAATACAATTTGTTGCTTCCAGCTTGTGTACGGTTCAGTTTAGCTTTAAGCGACTTCATGTTCAACCTGATTAAGTCTCCTGAAATGCTAAAGAAAATCTTTCTTCCCCAATTGTTTAATTAACAATACAAGAATAAAATTAAATATATGTTTATTTCCTTAATTTTTTCCATTTTATGCGTAGACTATTGAAGTACCACTTTGTTTGGTGCCGTTACATAGATACAGACATTTCTGAGTATTGAACACTTATGTAATGCAGGTCATTCTAACCAGAAGAGGAAGAGGTCACTCAGTCTAGATAAGAAAGGGTAAGTCTTTTAAATATCTATGTATATCGATATCTATATTTGCCTGTGTTTTTTTTACAAATTTAATAATTGTCAAAATTAATGTTTCGGCAACAACTTCATGAAAAAACATAATAGATGAATGACTCTATATATTGAGAGTAGCAGTATTGCATTAATTTATATAAGTTAACCACAGAATATATGTGCGTAAGCATATCGTACGAAGTCTGCCTCCCGCCAAGTGATGAAGACGAACGTATCGCTGTCAATGTCCAAAACCATAGGCCCATGTTTCTTCGTGACGGTTCTATGGTTGACGTTTATTGTGTAAGTTCAGCCATAGTCAGAACGTCTAAATAGCGATAACGAGACATTTGGGGAACGAAATATTTTCCGACACTGTGACAGATCTTGTTTTGGTTTCACGACCTGGACACGCGACAGTGTGACGTCGAAACGATATCGAGCGTCTGTAGCAATTCTGCCTGAAACTAACGATCAAATCTTTCAGTATCACCTTCTTTTAATATGACCTTAATAACCCCCTTTTCCGCATAACCTCACAAAGTCACCAACATTTGTCGGATGTTGACAGCAGACGATGTAAACAAAACAGCATGTGGCAAAAAGTGTGTGGAAAAAGTCGTTCTGGTCAAAGTTCATCTTCTCGATCGCGACCAATCAAAACTCTTGAAGGTCATATACCACGTGTGGTATATAACTCATATTTATCTAACAGTCTGCAAGTTTATACAATGATCTGAGAGTGGAATAACACCGCGTATTGTAGTAGAAATACAGTATTGTAGGTTCTCCCAAAAGTGATGGTTGTTTATCTTGTTAATCTGACTTAATTTTCGATACAAGCTGAGTTATTAATCAATGTTTAAATTGACTCCCACTTTCAAAATTCAAGACTCTTGACATTACAAATTTTGACTGCTTACATATATATAGTCCACATTTGCCCTGCAATGTCACTTTTTAAACCTGTGCAGAAAAAAATAGCATTATTGTATTTAAATAAATATACATGAGATACATCTATGTAACAATAGGAAACAACTGGTTTTCATACCAGCATGAACATTGAAAAAATCATGTTCACGTTCAAAGCATATATGCATTAAAGTATAGATCACCAGTAAGTCATTTGCCCTACATATACTTTGTGATAAGTTATAAAGCAGATGTAGAAATGTTTACAATATATAGACATTTATCAGGTTTTTATTTGAACTTACCTGGTAGTACACATTTAATATGTTCTAATATAGCTGATAATCGACTATAATAAAATAATTGATCTGTTTACAGATATAATCAGTTTACTATTGAAATCAAAGTGTCAAATGTTAACAGTATCAAGTGAAAGCCATTTACCCTTATGATTGTTACTACATGATTGACAGACTGCATAGAGGTTACTTAAAATCCATTCCAAGTATTTGACAACTCTATCTGTTGATGTAACAGTAATGTGCTCACTTTATTTGTGTATTCAGTCCCATAGAATTATAAAATGATTATACATTCGATCATCAATTAGTTAACTACCTGTTCGCCTGATTACAAACCAATTATCAATTATGAATTATGATTTAAACTGATTGCCCATCACTGATGTTTACAAGGTAATGTATGTCATATACATCTGTATAAGTACTTCACATTTTCTAGTAACAAAAGACAATCCAGTGGTGCAACGAAGAATAGGATCAACAACCCAACTAACACCGGAAGGACAGTCAAGGGTAACAAGAAGCTGACTAATGTCCCAGGAAAAAATAGTCAGAACAAAAAGACAGACAAAAACTCTAAATTTAAAAGAAGAGAAAAACGTGTTGCTGATACTCGCTATCCTCTACGAAGAAGCTGTCAGGGAAATTCCGCAAATGTTGCCAAGTCCATAGTTGATGAATCAAAAACAACAGTTAAGAAGAAAAAAGATAAAAATGCTTTAAGAACATTTGATAAATCAAACAAAAAACCTCATTCAGGAATGTCCGAACATCTGAAGCAGTGTATAGGGCGTGAGATCAGTATATTAAAAGCTCACGAAGATCAGGCGATGTCCATCAATTCTGACAGTGTGTGTCATTCAATAGACTCCAAGAGGCTCTCTAGTTTGGCATTTTTAGACCTGAAGGACTTGGCACAAGTGCCCGAACCATGCAAGTCCCTTGAAAACCAATCTGTGTACATGTCTAAAAAACATGTTGGAGGTGTATGGAACTCTATAGTGAAAAAATAATAATATGCCTATCAAACACTTTTAGACTACAATCACAAATTATTATTTTTTTACAGAGAATCGAATAAATAAATAATAAGTGACTCTAATGTTAAGGTCAAATGAGCGTTACAAAGACTGTTGCTGTGAGGGATTTTCTTATATTCTTAAAAATGTATTTCTGTTTAATACTGCTTATACAAGTGTACTGAACTATATCAAGATATTGCATAAGACAGCATATACACACAGTTAGATTATACATGCTTTGTTAAAGTGCATACCACATGAACTAGCACTATTTATGATGACGGTTACGCTATCAGTACTGTGTACTTTTTAACTGTAAAAGAATATATCTGTTATAAATATCAAAAAAAAAAATATTTAATAAAAGGATATTATAAATTAAATTTAGTTAGAAATCCTTCATGTTGAATATGTTTGGTAATTATTAAAGTAATTGCTTGCTTCTGGTCGCATACAGGTCAACCTCTGGACCCCGGGTATCGGAGTGTTCCTCTCAGCAAACTCCTACAGAGGGATAAAAGCGTGTCAAATTTTCACATCATATCTTCAGTCTCCTAGTGTGGTGGAACATTGTTTTACCAATTATGTTCTTATCCTACTGGTCTATTAGTTTGAAAACACCATGAACTGATGCATTCCTCAAGTACAACCACTAAGTACCTGACCAGTTGCACTTTTTAGTTTAATTATCCTGTTCACTCATAAAACCAATTTCTAATGGCCAGGGGCCCTTGGGGTAATCGGATAAGGCTTGACAGATTTGTACACCTCTTTGTGAGGTGGTATAAAATACTATGTGTATTATTTGCATTTTATGCTACAACAACTGTGCATTGTCCTCTAAGAGGGAAAATTGCCCCTAAAGAGGGACAAATCTGGTCAGAATTATAAGATAGAGAGACTAGACTGAGTCCTACAGCACTTTCATGATTAACTCATGTTAATCAACGGGGAAGAAGCTTCGAAATGACACTGACTAAAAGTGCCTTCATAGAACTTGATTTCTCCTTGTAATGCTTATAAAGGACCTTGTAGTGGAAATGTAAATATAAAATTTGTTCCTCTGGGGCTGTATCCGATGTCAGACACAGACTTTCAATAATATATTTTAACAATGAAAACTTGATTACAAGTCTTGGATGCTGAGAACAGACTTATATCTATGAATTTCTAGCAGAAGATGGACATTCAAATCCAGTCTTTGATATTGTGAGCCCTGCTGTGTATTTGCTCAAAATAAGATGTGGGGTTTTCTTCAATGATTCAACAATGAAATTTGTGGTGAATTTGCCTACGTAAGCTAACTACAGTCAGTGGTCAAGTATTATACATTACCTCACTTTCCATTTTATTAGATTCTATATTAGTTTTACTTTAAAAAAACATTTTTTCCTGGCCTTATTTTTAGTCAAAAGAGGAATTTGGCATACAGATGAAGAATTATCTAGCACTTCTTTTGGTAATGTATAATTACATGTTTCATAGAATTCTAACCCAAGAGGTGTTAATTAACCAAAACAATTTTATCGCAAAATTTGACACTGTATCTATGGGAACAATGTCAATGTATATATTTTTATGCTGAGATGAAAAGCAATATCTCAACAACAGGGGCATGTATAATATTACCACAAGATACACCGGACAATTCTCTAATATAATATAAAGTTTGATTAAAACATAGATGTCAAATAAAGTCACAAAAATAAAATATTTGGTAAAATATTAATCAACATTGAATCCAATGAGATACTGACTTAACATGAAAGACCTTATGAATGTACCTGGTATGTTTCAAGTATTCGGACTGACCTAAGTTTTGGCCTCCGACCCTTACAATTGTATTTCACTCAAATAAACGTATAAGTGTCTTTATGACACCTCACGGTCAAAGGCAGGTATCAAAACCAATTTTTAGTCCCATATTATTATTTTAAAATTTAATGAAAATTGAATACAATCAGTCTGAATAACTATGTTTGGTGATTTTTAGCTCACCTGGTTCAAAGGACCATGGTGAGCTTATGCGATAACCGCAACGTCCGCCGTCCGTCGTCCGTCCGTCAACTTTTCCTTTAAAACGCTACTAGTTCTGAACGGCCAAGTAGATTTCGACTAAATTTGGTCTGGAGCATCCTAAGGCCAAGGGGACTCAATTTTGAATAAACAGTGGGTGTGGCCCCCCTGGGGGCAGAGGGGCGGGGCCCAAAAAGAGAAATAGAGGTAAAACCTTTAAAATCATTCCACTACCATATAGGAATGAAAGGATTTGTTCCATATTTGGTCTGGAGCATCCCTGGGGGAAGGGAAACAAATTTTGTATAAATGACGGGTCTGGGGCCTGAGGGGCGGGGCCCAATAGGGGAAACATAGCAAATTCTTTAAAATCCTTCTTATTCTGTAGGAATGAAAGGATTTGGTCTGGAGCATCCTTGGGTGAGAAAGAACCAATTTTGTATAAATGGCGGGTCTGGCCAGCCAGGGGCCTGAGGGGCGCGGCCCAATAGGGGAAACATAGCAAATTCTTTAAAATCCTTCTTATTCTGTAGGAATGAAAGGATTTGGTCCATATTGGGTCTGAAGCATTCTTGGGTGCAGGGGAACCAATTTTGTATAAACGGTGGGTCTGGCTAGCCAGGGGCCTGAGGGGCAGGGCCCAATAGGGGAAATATAGCAAATGCTTTAAAATCCTTCTTCTTCTGTAAGAATGAAAGGATTTGTTCCATATTTGGTCTGGAGCATCCTTGGGTGAGGGGGAACCAATTTTATATAAACAGTAGGTGTGGCCTCCCTTGGGACCTGAGGGGCGGGGCCTGATAGGGGACATATAGCATATTATTAGCTCACCTGGTCCGAAGGACCAAGGTGAGCTTATGCCATACTGTTGCGTCCGTCGTCCGTCCGTACGTACGTACGTCAACAATTTCTTTTAACGACTTCTTCTTCTTAACCACTGATTGGAGTTCAACTAAATTTGACTTGAAGCATCCCTAGGTTGTGGGGAATCAAAATTGTACAAATGGTGGGGCTGACCCCCCAGGGGCTGAGGGGCGGGGCCAAAAGGGGTCAATTTGGCTATATTGCTTTAAGCGTCTTCTTCTCTGGAACTAAGAAGTGGATATCAACCATATTTGACTGGAAGCATCCCTAGGTGTCAGGGATTCAAAATTGTACAAATGATGGAGCTGACCCCCCAGGGGGCTGAGAGGCGGGGCAAAAAGGGGTCAATTTTGCAATATTGCTTTAAGCGACTTCTTCTCTCGAACTTAGAGTAGGATATCAACCATATTTGACTGGAAGCATCCCTAGGTGGTGGGGATTCAAAATTATACAAATGGTGGGGCTGAGGGCGGGGTCAAAAAGGGGTCAATTTGGCTATATTGCTTTAAGCGTCTTCTTCTCTGGAACTAAGAAGTGGATATCAACCATATTTGACTGGAAGCATCCCTAGGTGGTGGGTATTCAAAATTATACAAATGGTGGGGCTGAGGGCGGGGCCAAAAAGGGGTCAATTTGGCTAGATTGCTATAAACAACTTCTACTGTAGAACTATGCCATGGATATTGATCATATTTGGTCGGAAGCATTCATGGGAGGCAGGGATTCAAAATTGTACAAATGGTGGGGCTGACCCCCCGGGCTAAGGGGTTGGGCCAACAAAAGTGTATTACTTGGAAATGATTGGGATCCCCACCATATAACCATGGTATACAATTGCTGAGTATAAAGAGAAGAATGCACATTTGCTTCCAGGATGGCTATAGGGTCTGGCCCCCCCCTTGGAGACATAGTCCCTGGGCCATAACTTTAAAACTGTTGAGATCCCCATCCCAAAACTATATATACAAAAGCTGGGCATAAAAAGACGAATGCAGTCATGATATTATAATTGACCTCAGGGTCTGCCCCACCCTTGCAGACTTAACCCCTGGGTCATAACTTTGAAATGGTTGAGATCCCCACCCCAAAACTTTATATACAAATACTTGGCAAAAAGAGCCAAATGCAGTCACGAAATTAGAATTGATCCTGGGGTCTGGCCACAACCCTAGGGATCTTGTTTCTGAGTCAAAGCTTGGAAACAGTTGAGATCCCCACCCCATAACCATAAATAAAATTGCTGGGCATGAATAATCTAATACAGATATGCTACAAGGATTGGCCTTGGGGTCTGGCATATTCCCTTGATCTCATTAGGAGAATATTTTGCCATGATTGCTTTGGTATCCAGGTGAGCGATACAGGCCCTGTGGGCCTCTTGTTTAAAATCCTTCTTCTTCTGTAGGAATGAAAGGATTTGTTCCGTATTTGGTCTGAAGCATTCTTGGGTGAAGGGGAACCAACTTTGTATAAACTGTGGGTCGGGCCCCCAGGGGCCTGAGGGGCGGGGCCCAATAGGGGAAACATAGCAAATTATTCTTTAAAATCCTTCTTCTTCTGTAGGAATGAAAGGATTTGGTGTGGAGCATCTTAGGGTAAAGGGGAACCAAGTTTGTATAAACAGTGGGTGTGGCCCCCCTGGGACCTGAGGGTCGGGGCCCAATAGGGGAAATAGAGGTAAAACCTTAAAAATCCTTCTTCTACCATAGGGATAAAGGGATTTTATCCTAGTTTAGTCTGGAGCATCTCTGGGCCAAGGGAACTCAATTTTATATAATTGGTGGGTATGACCCCCCTAGGGGCATAGGGGTGGGGCTCTGTTTGAAGTTTGTTCTCGCTATATCTCAAGTACTGGATGGATCTTTCTGAAATTTCATATGTACTTACAGCACCTACCATGGAGTGCTATATATTTACTTCAAACCAATTATTTTAAACATATTCAGGTGAGCAATACAGGCCCTCTGGGCCTCTTGTTGCAATTTCTTGAATTAGCATCCACCTTACCTCCCTAAAAAGGGAATTAATCCTTACTGACCTATCCTAGCTATTTTTTCAGTCATGTTACCTGAAACACATGGGCTTTTTTGCCTAATGAACTTAAGTTAAGTTTGGTCTTCAGATTTCCACACCTCTTCAAAAAATGTTAAAATTATTATAGGAAGTAGATCTACATCCTTTTCTTTTTGTGGCAGAATTTTTTCTCTCCTTCAAAGCAATATAACTACAAAATTTGAAGAAATTCTACTGAGAAATGGCGACAATCCTATTACCTTAATGAACAGCCGCTTCTTTGGTTAGTGTTCTTTCCGCATTGTATGTCTTTTTCGTTCCGCAATTTTGTTTTACCGATCAGAGCTAAGCAACCGTAAACTTCCGGTTACAATCTGAGAAGAAGGGATTGACATACGGATGAGCTGTTTAATGATACCCGTCGAGGCAGGATCATAATGTCGCGACCTTCTACATCGAAAAAGCCGGTCAATCCTCATGAAACGATTGAACGCATGCTTAACAAAACTACCCTATCTACACAGAGAGTCGCACACCGGCAAATAGTTGGTGAGTGCCCCTTGAAACCCCACTTGATAAGAGCTAAGATACAGATGGCTTTCGGTCTCAGCTGTAACCATAAGGGGGTCGTTTAATTTAATTTACTTCTTAACAGTTGAATTGTATTGACACGTAAAGCGATTGGAACATGTAAACTATCGGGATTTCACAACAATGAAATGGTGTAAATCTTATCTATAGTTTTAAAATGTAGTTGATATGGCCCTTTAAAGTCCCCGCGTGTTATCGGCCCCAGGATCAATCGTATCAAAGGAAAGTAAATACTGGGTTAGCATTTGCTTCAATTTACTAACAAATGCTTATTTTAACGTAAGCTTGTTCAACTGCATGAGGAATTACCGACTGAAAGGAAATTAATGTGCGTAGATCTACTGATCTGACAGAACACATGCCTTTAATATTTTCCTATAATAACAAAGAACAATAAGTTTGTTTCATAAATAGTGTTTTGATGTTTTATCCATATTTTGATATTTTAAAACAAAAACAACGATTAAATAATTAAAAATCAACAGAAAGATATCCTTAATGTCATTGAACTCAATTAAATTGTTCAATTGTTATAACATGCATATATATATTAGGTTGTAATATCTGCTTGATTCTGACATATGATATGCACAGTACCATATATTTATTAATATACATATTTTTGTAACAAAGCTTTGAAGACTTTTATGATCTTGTTACACATTTTAATTTGATTTGAAACTTGATCTAAAAGTTAGTTGGAAATTATTCAAGTTTTATCATATCATATTTCATATTTGAAATATTAATTTACCACATTAACATTTTGAGGCTTTTTTTCAAATAGTGTTTGATTACCTCAGTCAAGAGGCTACTGACAAATATCAGGTTGAAGTATTCTTATGGAGTGTAAGCAATAAATTGTGCCAAACCATATTTTCATACTTATAGGGGCCCAAAAGGGGAAATTGGAGTTGGTTAAAAAAAATATTACAGTATTGAAATTTGTTGGATCAAAATAGTTGTGGTGCTGTTGACTTTTCATAGACTGGGAAATTTATATGGAGTGTAGGCAATGCATTTTAAACAATATTTTTACATTTGAGGGTTCAAAGTAATGGATAAAGTTTTATAAATAGGAGTTCTTTTTTCAAGCAGTTTCAGATCACAATAAGAAAGTCACTGTTCTTTTCAGAATACACCTTACTTTTTCTTCCTAAATGTCATAGCCTTCAGCAATTTGAGGACATTATAGATTTGCACCCTTTCATAAGTCAGTGATCCACATTGTACATGGCATATATTATATAATGTCACCTTCTGTCAGCATTATTTGTATGTATCTCCAGGGATGGCCAAGTATGATGTACTGAAGAAAACAGGTTTCCTGTTCCACTCAAATAGAGTTATGGCCCTTAGTTAACCAATCGTCACTTTGTCCAGGGTATATCTGGGTTATTTTTTACCTCGTCACTGTTAGGGTGGTTGGGTGGTGCGTCTCTCAAAGGCGGCCAGAGTTTGATTCCTCAATTGGACAAGAACATTTTCTGGTTTCCTCCCACATTAAGACCCCTGGCACACTATCTTGTTTCATAATTGTTGTAAAATAAATAAGATTTACATTAAATGTATACTCTGCCACATAAAATTGGGAAATTTTGTGTTCAACTCCCGAGTATCATGTACTGAAAATAAGGTCTCCTGTTCCACTTACATAGAGTTATGGCCCTTAGTTCACCATCCAACACTTTGTCCACAGTATAAATTGTATATTCTCTTTGTCACATACAATTTGCAAATTTTGCATATGAGTACCCCCAGGGTTGGATGAGTATCAGGTAGTTTTGTACTGAAATGAGGTCAGACCCTCTATATACAGAGTTATGGCCCTTTGTTCACTTTCTGTCACTTCATCTGGGACATATCTCATGCATGTACTACTATCTCGACTGCCTGTGTACCTTGGAGTACCATTTGGGATGGTGGAGTGTTACTAAGGAGGGTCTCCTGCCCACTACATATATGCATGTAGCATTTTGACCATTCTCATACATATATATATATTGATTCCAAAGTTTGTCCAGAAGTTGGGAATTTTAAACGCTCGAAATTTTTTGTCTTCTTTCTAAAGATATGTACTAAATATTTCAATCTTTGCAGAGCAAATACAATTTTTTGGCTTAAAATGTTATTAATGATGTAGGGAGGGCATATATCCCATTGGCCAGATCTGACCAAAAGTGTATGATAAGTAATTTGTTGCTTTAAACTATAAAATAGTAGATTTCATGTACCTCTAATAAAATAAAGATAATCAATAATTTGTTCATCTTAGAATAAAATAATTCTTCATAATTTTTATTTAAGTAAAATAATTACATGGCTTGTATACGGGAAAAAAAACAATAATTTCCTGCCTTTATCAATAATAATATGGAGATAAATAACTAAATGATCAGTGATTTCATGCTTGTTCACAACTTTTTCCTTACTGTGCCCCGGGTTATTGTTTTTCAAACATCCATAGTTTTTCTGATAATGATTTAAAGTGATTTAGGGTATACGTCTGACTCGTGACGCTTTGATAAACACAGCTGGTGACTGTGAATGTTATCAGTACCTGAAGTCATGGAGAGGTATAGAAAAGCACCACAACACAAGGAACATTCAAGTCTTGTCAGGTTCAACACTAGCAAACTAACAAACACCATCTACCGCACTCTGTATCATTTTACTGACTTGGTAAGCCGGTGAAGATATAGATAGCAAGAGAAAATCAATTAAGGAAGTTTGGTAGAAGTTAACCAGGCTTAGAGCCACAGGTATACAGTGTATTACTGGAGAGGTTGTAAGTATGTTACTGGAGAGGTTGTTAGTATGGGTTACATACACAGTCACAGGTGTAAAACCATTCTGTATGGTTTGACTTTGTATGGTCCTGACAATGAGAACAAAGGGTACAGGAGATCAATGTCCCGACAGCATTCTGTACGGACAGTCAGGGCTATTGTCGAAGTTCAGACGTCCCCTCAGTGCTAATGTTCTGAGGGGGAAGAAAGGTAAGACTGACATAACAATGGTCCATTAGCATGTTTTCAATTTGTCATAAGACAAATCAGAAATATTGACTCAATTAAAATGGTTTTGATTCTGTCTTTTTCCTATTTTTTTTAAAGTTTAAATGAAGAAGAAATGATTGTATAAAATTTACATTGATTGTAGAGTTGGGACTGATATAACTCGTATAAACCTTCCTACTAAGTTGGATAGAGAACTCTAAGCTACCTTACATGTCCATCAAGTAGCCATACTTTCCACCCACTGTAAAATTTCAGTTCAACAACTAGGTTACATATACATACTACATAACACTATTTACTTGTGGACTGCATATAACATGAAAAAGATAAGTTTGTGTATGTTATAGGTACATTGTATTATCTAGTAAGTTGTGATAATAGTAACATTAACATTTTAAGTAAATGGGGCTGGCTAAATCCTTAAACATTAAGAGATATTTTTCTTCTTTTTACTTTAAATGTATTTATTGACAGGAACAAACAACAATTGTTAATTCTGTTAATTTTGAATTCATGTTTCATGAAGTTTACCGAATTTCTACTTGTCTAGAATCAACACTCAACCTTAACAAAAACCTGTTCTATTTTAGAACTTGGTGACTACCTTCTAAACAATCGGGCAGACGATTCTAAGGAGGAGAGGGAGCGGGAATTACAGCAGGCCGTTGATGCTGCTGAGGCAAGGGCCACACGGGAGCTCCGTGCTGCCGTAAAAAGGTTGCGCAGTGCTAAGGATGAGGAGAAACGCAAGGCGCTGCAGCTGCAGCAGGATGTAAGATGGGGTTTTTACACTTAATTGTCTTGATAAAGCAAAATTGATTTCTATGTCGGAATTTATTTCAGTAATGTCATAGTTAAGAAAAAATTTAAGTGAAGAACTACATCTAACTTATTGTTTTATAATGAAACTAAAGGTGTAAATTTAATATTTGGTAAATATTGTTCTAACAATATCTTGTTAATTATAAAAAGGAACTTGTATCAGAGGTTTTGTAAGTGTTCTTATGTTAAGGTTTCAATGGGACCAACATTTGTACCATGTTGATATTTAGCGGGTGATGTCACCATTGTAAATTTCCATGTGTTATACACTGTTTTAGATGAAAAAACAATATATATATGGTTGTATTTATCAGTCAATAAACCCGTGCCTAATAATCAGCCCACACATATCTAAAGCAGTTCTGTAGAAATTCAAACAAATGCTATTTCATTGTCCTGTAACGAGGGCCTTTTTCTCCACCAAACTTTGAGTCAGAGACTACATAGGATATGTTGGCTCCCTGGACTATCCCAGGATAGCTTCACTTACCTAGCTCATACAACGTATAAATGTATAATTGTTGCACTCTGTAACTGTCATCCTGCAAATTTGCAAATGACCCTAAACTATATAATTGAAGTTGTACATTTTAGTAAGTGAAGTTAACTATATCAAATTTTATGTTTACATCCCTTTGAAGCATGGCATTTCAAAAGGACCCCGCTTTCTTTAACTGTAAAAAGACTATGTTTAATTTGAAAAGGACTCCACTTATGACACAGACAGCACAAACTTTTTTATATTGCAGTATTATGAAAGACTTGCGAAGAGGATTGAAGAACAGAGAGATGCAGCTGAGGAGGAAAGACAGCGAGAGTTGACCAAACAGCTGGATGGGGAGAAAGAAGAAGCCCTAAGACAACAGTGGGAGGAATGCGAGCGACTAAAGGAGATAGCCATACAAGAGGCTTGTCAGGCGCTCACCAGGAAGCTCCGACTGGACTTCACACTGGAGAAGGAACGTGCCATAGCTACTGCCCTAAGGGAACAGAAGGTAAATAACCTAGAACCAAAGTACACATCATAGATAGATTAGCATGTTACCCATGATTATGTAACTTCATCTTTCATGCAGGAGTTAGGGTTTCAATTAACAGTATGATTATAATGTAGAAAATAATGAAAGTGTTGGGGAACCAACACAATTATAGGCAAAGGAGTCCAACGTCCTGTATGTGATGGTTGGTGATGTCTGGATTGAGGAACCCGAGGTGGATTACATGTTTCGGATGGCTAGGCCAATCGTCATCAGGTTTCTAATCACGGTTGGCCTACCCATTGGAAACATGTTTACTAATAAAACCTACAGTTACGGAATCCTTGGTGTTGATGCTCCATCTCTAACCTACTTGTATGATCATAAGAACTTGTAATTTTTTCATGTTTCCCATACATGTGACTAGGTGATTCATCCAAATGCACAGTAAAGATAGATGTATTTCAGCATCTGTGCATACTGTTTGTATTCAGAAATATAATGTAGGGGTGAAAATCCTCAAATGAGGCATCCATCTTCTCCCACATTAATACTCTTAAGGATAAAAACATTAAGTCAATGTTATTTGTTTCTATATTTGCAGGAAAGATTCCTAAAGAGAGAACAGGAAACAATAGCAAGAACAATAAGAGACTGCGAGGAGTTGGCACGGAAGGAAGCACTTAGAGTGTCAAAAATACACCAGGATGAAGTCAATCGTTTGAACCACAAGTAAGGAATCTAGATCAGGGACCACCAGAGGAATATTTAAGCACCTCAGACACAGCAATGAGCCCTCAGTTGTACCTTTTAGTCACATAGAGACATGATACGTCAACAGTTTCCTTTTATGTGTTCTTTGTCCCATTGTCATGACTACTCTAATCGGTGTCGCTCTGGCTATGCAAGATATTAAATTCAACATTTGTGGATAAAAGGAAACATTGACTTTTAAAATACCATATAAATTAGTAATGGGCGCAGGCCATATAGTGGTGGGCACAGGGCCAAATACTATATGGCCTGGGGAATACCCTGCTAGATTTTTAGTTATGATTTTTTTTGGTGTGATTATAAGGATGGGAGGGCTGTTTTTCTATTTCTGTATTTACTTCCAAGGCAAAATGATCAACTCATAGTAAATTAAAATACATCAGCATTTTTAAAAAGAAATAAGGTTTTATGGTGGATCCAGTTACTTAATGTACACCTGGATATTAGAAGAAGTGTGTTTTCTTGCCAAACATACAAAAAATCAGTACGTGAATATTTTTTTTATATTTTACAGGTATGATGGTCTGGAGAAGAAGTACCTGAAGGAATTGGACCATAAAAACAGACTGGAGAAGGATTTCAGGGTAAGATTCTCATCTCGTAACATACATACCGCAATTTGAATATGAATATGAATCAGTCCGACTACATATGTCTACTCAAGTGACCTAGTGCTATACAGTTGTATATATAGTTTCCCTCTGACACGTGTAGACTTTTTTCTCAATTTTGACTTCATAAGACTGCTGAATGAATTTCTTTCAAACTTGGTAAGAATCATCATTATTAGATGGTAAAAGCAGGCTGCCTTTCCCAACCCTAGGGGCCCAAAAGAAAAAATTACCAATATTTCAAAAATATTTTTCTTCAGACTCCTTGAATCAATTACTCGTCATGAAATGAAAGGTCAAAAGGTGCTCTATTATAGATTTTCATTACCACTTGCTCATCCATTGAGTATATTTTACTGTAGATTACATGTACAAACAAAGGGAAATAACAACTTTGGAAATATCATGTACATTTTAAGTAGAAACACATTCAAACTTTGGTTTGAGTTTTATCATGGAATGGTAGTGTTTACTGGTCCGAACATAATGACCCTGACACCCCTTTCCTGTCTGTTTTGATGGTTGAAGGTAGAGAAAAGATGCTAAACCTTTAAAAAAAAAGGTCTTCATGATAAATATTTCAAAGTTATCCATCTGGGTCTCATAATTTAACCTTGAATCTATACAGAAGGAATAATTGTATTCTAACTGAGTATCTCTTTCAAGAACAGGTGAAGCCAGAACAAGGTATTGAATTTGCCGGAAATGCCCATGATTTTTGTGTTGCTAAAAAAAGGAAAGTGAAGTTTGCCAGGCTACATACAATATTGCAAATATATGCACTGGTGTGCATGTGTTTGTGTGAGTTTTACAACTCCTACTGTAGCTAGCTATACCAGGTGGTTTCATCTCCAAAGTTATCTTTAACAATCAAAACTTCCTTGCTTCTTCAGGCACTTCAAGATGACTACCGTCGATTCATGAACTACACAGACGGAAAATTCCATTCGGACTACCTGATAAAGCTGCGGTACACAGGTATGCAACTAGCTCACAAACGGATCAGTGAGGTCTCATACCAAAGCATTGAAGATCTATTTGAACCAAGACAGCACTGATGGACCTTGGTGAATGAACTATATTATCACTCCTTTGTGATCAGGACACTATACTCAATTTAAGGAGATTGAGAATACCAAGTGAGGATACCCAGAAGCCTTTGGAAGGAGAATATGGAGATCGTTGGGAATGCCAACTGTGATATTGTGTGCAGTCAGTACACACAGATCTGATAGGAGCTTAGCCACATAGATATTCCTTACCTATTACTGTTAAATGTATGATATTACCACATTATATTACCTGGGATAAACCTGTCAGCCTTAGCAATAAGCATCAATGAACCCTGCATCTATCAGGAATCCAAATCCAAATATTTTCACATATAAATATTATACTTTATATTTCAAATTTCAGGGGTTTTGTTATTTTCAGTTTCATACAAACAATTCAAGTTTTATAGTAATATTTTGATAACTAATAAATATTCATAGAATAGAACTGAAGGCTAATTACCAAACTTAGGGAGGGGATAAAATCTGGGACTTATTACCTAATTCAATAAAAAATGGTTTTTTTTTAGCCCTACTCAAATTTAAGATTTTCATTAAAAAGTAGGTGGGCTAAATTATCATACAGATTATATCCTCACAGTTAACCACAGGTTTACTGATAGTCATAGAACTACTGAAAATTGAACAGTTTATATATGTCTGTAGTCTGTTGTGACGAAGACTAAATACAGGAGTTTAAATATATATATTGATTTAAACCTGTGTAATGAAGAGAAGTTCATGCATTGTTAAGTTGTAAAAGTGCTGAATTAGTTATTCTCAAAATCTACTCTAAATTTTGATAGCCTTCAATAAAATGGGTTTATTTCCAAGATAGACATATATTGATGACTTAGTAAAAGTTTTGGTATTTTAAATATCTTGTGAGGGTGATTCCAGAAAGGATTTGTGACCCCCTCTGTCCACCTCTGTATAATTTGTGTCTATACCAAGGCCTGTAAATGGTATTCTTACTCTATTTTAACCTCTGCATAAACTCCTGTTTAAAGAGATGTGATTTCACTTTCTCATATACAGTACATTGTTGTATACAAGCGTCAGTATATAGGCGGCCTGATGATAAAGACACACGGTTCATCTTTCTAAATGTCTATGTATACAGGTTTTACTGTATATCTGTCGGCTACAGCTAGGGCTCGGTACACATGGCTCAGTATACAGATTAAGTGTACACATATACATGTTTATATTTTTACATCAACAAGAAACATTAAACCAGCTTTAGTAGTTTTAGTAAAGTGCCTGATATTATGTATTTATTGCACTGCTCTGCACAATGTGTACTTAGTGCTATGTTCACAGTTTTGTATACAATAGTATTGAGATTTCCTAGTTAAATTTGTAAAGCAAACTAGTCACTGCATGTATTGTATTAGAAGCATTCAGCTTGTAAATCCTAAGCAGCTGATTTATTCGCCCCTAGTGCACACTCTCAATATACCCCCCCCCCCCCCCCTCAATATAAAGCCATACCTGCACATTACACAGGAGTGGGCACTATACACGAATATTTACGGTATAAAGCAGCAGGAGCTTTGTTACTGAAGAAGGCACATTTTTATTAAGGGTAGTGGCGACTAACCAAAGATATCTGTCCATATTTTATTTTTCACATAAAGGTATTATAAAAATAAAGGCACCTCGCGTAGTCATCAAATCACCATGTAAGGCCCCTGAGTCAATATAGACATTTTAAGGTCTGTCCAAACTTTTGCCATCACCAGGATTCACACCCATGCCTGTCATCACATCTAGATTATATCAATGGCAATTACTTTAGACCTCACTCTTTGTTGTGCACTGCTCAACATTGAAATTAGCCATATTCTGATATTATACTGACAGAGGCATCATCGGAAATAGGGTGAATTATCCATTCACATCTATAGGTATTAAATATGATGGCTTTCTGGGGCCTTCAAAGAAAGCTTGATGTTTCCATAATTTTGTTTCTAAGTCAAAGTAAATAATAATAATTTGTTACATTAACATTACATTCTGGATACAGTTGTTAATAGAGGGTCACTTTAACCAAAATTACCTCATCATCTTAATTGAAGTATTTTGACTGAAGTAGTTTTCTATTCATAACATTTACAATCTCTGTATAATTATTGAAAAGAATCAATATAAGATTTTTTTAACTTAACATTTTATTGTTATGTAGTCTTTATATTTTACTATATATGGCATACACATTTTGTGAATTATCAGAGAAATTTATTTCCAACACATTAAAATCTAACAAACCTCTTTGCAACTGTGCAGCACTCTGCCATTTGTAACTGCACAGTGTCATGCTATTTTACCTTAACTCATTCACCCCTGAAATTTCATAATGAACTATATACCAACTTTTGAATAGGAAGAGTTCAAATGTGCCTTCAGGGGTGAATGAGTTATATATACCTAGTGTAATAGAGTTTACTGTTAAATCTGTAAAAGCATTTACATGGTACATATTATGAAACATATGTATATTATAATAATTTATTTCTTCTTAAAAATACCTTGATGTAAGCAATGTATCTAGAAAATTGAAATTGTTGCATTTGTCTTTGTTCTATATCCACACATGGAATCAGTATGTTAGCCAATCATGGCTTTAAATTGTATCCCTGTCTTACCCACAGGTACATGTACTAGCCTCGTCTGTCAATACACCTATAAGAGTATATTATAGGTGTATTAACAGACGAGGCTAGTACCTGTGGTCTTACCAATATATATAATTACTTGTATGCACCAGTTATAGAATGTTTATTGTACAGTCTATGGAATTTTCTTAATTGTTTTCGATTTATCCTTTAAATAATAATTTATTGTGCTATAGGTACTGTTTTTTTTCTTCAAGTGGATCATTGTAGTTAAATTATTGACTGCATTGATCAATAATCCCAAGCAAATCTGCTACATTGTAATGGTAAGTATTCGTCCGTAGTTGACTGTCAAAGGGAAATAATCTAAGTATTTTTGTTAAATGCTAAGATAATACAATTATTGAACATGTGCAAATCTTTCTTTTAAAGTTTGAAGAGCCCTATAACCATGTACACAACTGTTTATGTATCTCAACCAAATCTGCTTTCTAAATCATATAGTACTTGGTCCTTTGATCGTGAAATCAACTGTTGTATAAAGAAAGAGTGTAACTCCCCTATGGGCTGAGGGGCAATGCTTAAAAGGGGAAATGGGAGAATAGAGTGCTAACCCTTTAAAAAATATTCTCCTATTGACCAGTCGATTCTGTTTCAATTAAATTTGCTATGAAGTATCCTTTGGACCAGAGAATGAAATGTTATGTAAAGCAAGGGTGTTGATACTTAGAGCAAAGACCCAGACCCTATAACAGGAAATATTTGTCATTTTATCATTAACCAAAAATATTTGGATGTATAATTATGCTTAAACAAACTAGGTGAGCGATACAGGACATCTGGGTCTTTTGTAATTGGTTCATTGTAGGTGCTGGTTTCTTTAATTATGTTTATTATATGCACATATCCCAATATTAATTTTTACAGTTAATGTATACAGTTTTGGGATCGCACAACGTTACACCTTGTGGGGTACCTGGTATGTGCAAGACATGTTCATGGTGTGTGAACCATGTGTGACGATAAAAATCAACAACAATCAACTCCATGCAATTAACTCCATACGTTTTACTAGTACTGTATCTGAAAGTACAACCGTATTGATATTTTTACAGTATTTGCAAAAATGTGTAACATGTACTGAAGATTTAGAAGAAGTGCCAAATATACCATCGGATAATTCATACATGTACAATGTACCTTATTTAACTGGAGCCTTTAGATTTATTTTCATTCTATAACATCACTCTACTGGTCTTACCATATCTCACATATGTGCTTGTATATCACAACTGGGTAGTTGATTGTTAAATCGCACAGTTGTGCACACTAAATGTAGACAATGTGTGGACAGTGTGTGCATGATGTATGCATGAAGTGCACACGGTAATTTTGGTGCAATGTGTGATCACACAACTGTATCTATATATTCTAGCAACTACATACATACTGTTTTCACCTCTTCTAAAGTTTGTCGGTGGATCTTCTGACAAACCTGTGAAAAGGTTAAAGTACTTAAGCTACTTGATATATACAATGCATACATGTACAAACCTGCATAGACATGTATACATGTAGTCGGATCATTTCACAAGGAAGATATTTCTTTCTCAAATTTCTAAACCTCTTAAAATCATATCCTGTAAGACTTCCAAGAGAAATAAACCTGTCATACTGGCAAGTTCTTGTTGAAGAGACTATTGGGATATCTTACCTTCATATATGAGATGATACCTGTAGTGAATCACGTAAGAATGATAGCTATTTTTTAATGGAAATCATTTCATTATATGTACATCTAAATAAATGTTGCCAAAGTCTTGCTATATTCAATTAAAACTAATGTAAAGTGGCCATATAGAGTATGATACAGAAGTATTCATCATGTTTAATTTTAATCCAGGTGGGGTTTTAAAGAAAAGGGAAACTGTTTGCACCAACACATTTTTCAAAGATTGGAAAATGTTTATTTGTTTGAATTTATAATATAGCTAAATAATTTTTAAGTAACTTTAAAAAACAAAATAGTTTTTTTTAAAGTAATATAGAAACAAAGGATTATATTTCACTTTTTAAAATTTGCAACATTGATCCATTCAAGTTATCATATTTTGAAAGGTTTGTAGGCAGAGAGGGAATCATGGACGTGTTTTAAAGTTATTGAGTCAGAGGACTTGAAAGGATTTGTAGACAGAGAGGGAATAAGATTTCTGGGTGATGGGTTATCATGATGGTGCATCCTATTTGAATTGCTGATGTTGACAAAAATAACTAATTTGTTTTTCGTATGAGTATGCAAATTGTTAATTTACATCTCAATATTTGCTTGTTTTATTTCATAATTTAGACTTTTCGTTAGTGTAACAGTGATGGTTGGTTGCTTCAACATGATAGTTGGTTCTCATGTTTCAGTACTGCAGGTATTTGGTTCTCATGTTTAGATACTGCGGGGAGTTGGTTCTCATGTTTAGATACTGCGGGGAGTTGGTTCTCATGTTTCAGTACTGGTGGTAGTTAGTTCTCATGGGTAAGTACTGGTGGTACAATGTATTTGGTTTTCACGTTTTAAGTTCTGGGAGTAGTTGGTTAATGTGTTTAAGTAATGGGGTATTGGGTTTTCATGTTTTAAGTACTTGTGTTATTTGGTTCTCATGTTTAAGTACTGGGGGTATTTGGTTCTCATGTTTAAGTACTGGGGTATTTGGTTCTCATGTTTAAGTACTGGGGGTATTTGGTTCTCATGTTTAAGTACTGGGGTATTTGGTTCTCATGTGTAAGTACTGGGGTATTTGGTTCTCACGTTTAAGTACTGGTGGTATTTGGTTCTCATGTTTAAGTACTGGGGTAGTTGGTTCTCATGTTTAAGTACTGGGGTATTTGGTTCTCATGTGTAAGTACTGGGGTATTTGGTTCTCATGTTTAAGTACTGGTGGTATTTGGTTCTCATGTTTAAGTACTGGGGGTATTTGGTTCTCATGTTTAATTACTGGGGGTATTTGGTTCTCATGTTTAAGTACTGGGGGTATTTGGTTCTCATGTGTAAGTACTGGTGGTTTTTGGTTCTCATGTTTAAGTACTGGGGGTATTTGGTTCTCATGTTTAAGTGTTGCTGGTTTTCATGTTTCAGTGTTGTGAGTTCTTGTGTGCTTCAGTGTTGACGAAGTGTTTGGTTGGTTTGATCTGTTAAATCAAGTTGGTGGTTTTTTTTGTTCAATTTTAAACTTATAATCTGCACTGAAAATCGGTAAAATATTTAACTGGTATATTAATTAATAATTCTGCAAATTAGGAGTTTCGATTTTTAATCGGTTGGCACAATTATTTATGAGTCTTAAATATAAGTGGTTTTAATTGTAACTTGCTTGCATCATAATTCATGTTACATGACAAAATCAAAAGAAAATTCTAAAAGGACTTGGTAATATCTGTTTCCAAAAAAGAAGATCTTCACAAAACTTGTTTGAAGATTTTTACGAAATGTTTTAATGTTTTCCTGTTTACCTAAGTAATTTGTTTTGAATACAATTTTCTTTTTATTATTTCACTTCAATTCCTAACTGTTGGTAATTATTACTGTGTAGTATAGTGGCTATAATTATTGAATTGGCGGCGAGATAGAAATTGAAATGTGCATTTCATGTTTATAGTGTAATCGATATTTCAATTGTAAAGCATTCTATAAACCTGATATTTATTTATGTTATGTTAGTTTTCTAGTCAAGTACTGTACAAAACAGTCTTAATGAATTGTATGATGCCGTAATTTGAACAAACCGATTGTTATATCCCATAGAAATACTGGTTTAGTAGAAAATGTAATCTGAAGAAATATCGGTTTAACAGCC